TAAGTTGTTTTAAGTTTTAATTGAAAGTGTGGCAACAGAGCATGTGGCTTACAGTTACCAATTAGCATGGTTCCTAATTGGAAGCCAGGTTGTATTCTGGTGCTGTATTTCCTGGCTGAATCGGAGAAGGTCCTCCTCATTGCAGGGCCCAATCACATTGAATCGCCTTTCTGTATTCAAAGTATAGATCAAGAGACGGCCTGGATTCTACATCGGCTCCGATTGTTGATATCCACCACTCATGGTGCAAAAGCTCCACAATATCAGACGAACATTCTTGCACAAATTGTGCATGACGCAATAGAGAGAGATTATATTGCCGATTCATATCGGGGAACATACTCATTCGTTTCCATGAACAGGTCGTTGAATACAGAAGTCACTGATAGATAAAATCGCTCTTTCCAAGCTGAGGAGCCAAAAGGGACTTCGTCACCGTCTGGTTTCTTCATATTTCTCATTCCTTTCCCCCCCTGTCTAGACCTGAATTTCTCGAGGGGGAATGCCCGCCCCCCTCCCCCTCTCATCACGTCCGTGAGAGAGGTTCTCCCTTCCTACACATGGGGTCAGAATCAAGCTGGTTTGGTAAATTAGAAAGGAAAATGGTATGGAGGTCGGAGAGAAAAGGAAGCTTTTTTCTCGTCACTTAAGCGTCAATATATTTTTCATGGCACCCAGCATGTGTGACGAGGAAGTTGGGCATATAAAGCTCCTCAACGACATCAATTGTATTATACTGACTGCCTTTATTAGCCCTCTTCTTGCAGTCATACTTCTGCTAATTTGGATGTCACTTGGGCCTGTATTTGCGTCATGTCGTCCTGATCTAAGTTGGAGTCAAGGTTTCTTCTTGTTTTAGACCAGGGGCCTGTTAGGAACAGGCCCCTGGTCTCTGCTAAACTTAAATCTAAATCTAAAAGCAGTCTAAAAGCAAAAAGTCTATTCTTCGTCCTGACCCTTTAGACTAAGATTTAGCCTAAGATTTAGATTTAGATTTAAGTTCAGCAGAGGCGAGGAACGGGCCCCTGGTCTTCGGAGCTTCAGCGAGAACGAGTAAACCATTTCCTACGCAGCCAAAATTTGCCTTCGTGTCAACCGTAAAGTGGAAAAGACATAATAACCGAAAAATGACTAAAGAAAGTGATATCTTCTTCAGCGGCTATCTTGCGGTTTTGAGAGTATCCGCATCGAAGACCACCGCGCAAATCGGTCCATATATCATAACCACTGAACTATGAGATCATGGGTGACGAGCACCAATTGAAGAATCGGATCAGTTTAAAGATGAGATGAACGCGTTTACTAAAACATGTTTAAGAATGCGTTTATCTTTGACCTGCACTACTGAAAATCAGATTAGTTTCCATGAACACGTTTATCCCCGACTTAAACACGTTTAAAGGCGGTGTGGTTGCACTTGGAAAGAGAATGAATATTGTGCTGGGATTGTTTCAGGGCCACTTATTTTTTTTATTTATTATTTTTACTGAATATCGAATACATGTCGGGATTATTGTCAGATGGCTCTCTGCATTGATTTCACCACTGTATATGTAACAGGCAAGAACAACTACCCTGTGCAATGGTTGCATCAGTATGACATGAACAGAGAACGCAACTGGAACATCATCAAATGGATGCTGCTAAACCATGACAGAACTAATTGCATGCTCTTTGCTCACAGGGAATCGGAATACAAAGGTAAATCACTGAGCATGCCTGTAAATGGAACACTCATTCAAATGGTAAGTGAAATAAAATCTATTGGAACCATTCCAGGGAGAGGACATCAGGTTGTCATGTGATTGGAGTGTGGATGTTCTGCGGATGTGTTGGTTGCTCGAGGAACTGTGTTTTATCATTCTCCCACCAACAATCCGCACTTTAACCATTTGTCAGAGATGGTTCAAGTTTCCTTTGAGTCTACATCCTCGAGTACAGCCATAACGCGGCGACGTGGCTTCAGGCTATTCTTGCTCCGCAATCTTATGTCATAGACAGTGATGAAAATTATGGGAACAGTATTAACAGAGGGTGGTGGGTTACACCATTCACCTCTTCGCCCTTCTCTCCCTTCCTTTGTGCCAGAATTCCAGCCGCGCTTATTTATTTATTTATTTTTACAGTATACAGAGCCCTGCCATAATAATTTAGCCACCCCCATAAATGAATGTACCTAACCTAACCTTTCGTATTTCAGGTGAGATTAAGTATAAGTAGGACGTATAAGTTGGAAGTGGGCAGATAATCAGTGTAAACAATCACCATGCCAAAAACAGGCGGATCCCGCGATATTTCTCCATTCACCCTACTAAACCTTAATGGCCATATTATTCAATAGGATGGCACTACATGCCATACCACTCGTGTGACCACAGTTTAGAAGAAGAATCGAGGCACTCAATTCTTCCCTGGGTGTCCAAAAGCCCAGATATAAAATTGAACGAGCATCTGTGGGAGCATCCGGATCCTCAACTGAGAGTAACCCGTTCAAGTCCCACCAATATTGTGGAATTAGAGGAAACTCTCACACAGATATGGGGGAAACTAGACTGTGATACAAAATTTCATAGATTCGTTGTTAAGGTAAATGCTCTTCGGCTGCAAAATGTGGCTGGACCAAGTACTAATCGCACTCTATTGGCCTGTCTTATTTGTCTTTTCCCACACCGAACTACCATTTTTTAAAATTATTTATAACAACAGGTAGCCAAATTATAATGTATGTATTTGTATTTAGAAGATATTGCCACTAATTGCAAGTGGCTAATTCGGAAATAATTTCAAGTTCTTGCCAGAAGTGAGGGAACGATATTCCCTTGGAATGTAAGACTAATGGGAAAAGCTGCAATATGTAGCTAAAGAACGCAACTCTCCCACCTGCTATTTCAGAGTGAGTAGATAGGCAGATACTCAGATCAGCAGATTGCGTTTCACACACCCCCAATAACACTAGAATGTCTGTACGGATGCCTTTAAATTGCCCTCGTGAAGAGATGAGTAATCATCAAGACATATTTACGATACGTCTTGAATGCGTGAAAATGTCTCCTTTCGACATCTTCATGTTTCATGTTGGAAATGTATTGAAAATGTTTTGAAGAATTATTCTTTGTTATGTGGAAAATCTATTCTGATTGGCAAGGATTATCTATTCCATCGAGGAAGTGAAGAACGATTGCTTCGGTAAAATGAGGAACTCTGGCCTGAAAGAGTATCTGCAGGTAATTCCATTTCCCATCGTTTTAATCCAAAGACGGTCTTCCCCCTTCCAGACGCAGAAGCAAACGAACTAATGGGATAGAAGGCACTCTTTGGGAAACCATTCCTTCGCGTCAAAGGGCAAAGGTATACTTCCGAATAATTTTGTACGCTATTCACTATCGTAACAGATGGTTGCCCATATCCTTCATGCGCCCATGGAGTGACGTCACTATTTGAATCATTTAGTTCGTCTTTTGTTAAGTGGCTCTGCTGACACCTCCCGCATCCCATGACAATCTTGGTGGCCTGTCCTCTCACAGTTCGTTATGTTCCGCAAGCAGCTGTTTACCATAGGTTTAATAATAATAATTATTGTGTCAAGTGCTGACAGAAAGAGGCGTTCTGATTGCTTTTAGCGACGAGCAGGTGGACTAAAACCCCACCGTTCCTCCTCTCCCGAAATTCCTAAACGCCTTGAGTCCCCTTGTGCTTTGTTAAAGTGTAGGTAGCATATGAAAGGTACTGGGGACTCATTGTGGTTGCATCAAAATGTAAATTGCCTCAGCGGCGATTCAGGCGCCTTCTCGCTTCAGCTGTGGGAATCACGTTTCTTTGAATGCCTGTTGAATGGCTCGTTTCTGGCTCGAGCCATTCGAGAAAAAAGTTTTGGGCTCAAGTTAATGATAAAGAATCATACATCATAACTTTCACACTTTAACGCATGCTTATTCCGTACATTTCTGTATTCCTATACTTAACTTCAGCATTTAATAATTCTCTGAGTCATATATTGCTATTAAAACAACTGTTTTAATAAAGTAACTGAGCCTGTTTGGCTCAGACAGGCCAAACAGGCTCAGTTACCCTTTGGACATTGCCCTTGTTCGTCTCACTCTCGGCATCGCAATCTCTATTTCCACCATTCTACCCTACATTTCCCAATCTCCGTTTACTCTTTTTTTTTTAAATCTCGAATGGGTGATCAACATCAATCAAAATGAACATAGACAAATGAAAATTATTTCCTTGAAGAAGGAACCGAATGAAAGTAAAAACTGTTCCTTTCCTTTTTTAAAAAAATAACATTTTAATAATCTCTCAATGTGTGTAATCCAGAGTGTTAGTTATGAGTGCTTAATAAACAAGTTTCTTTATCAAATGCATTTTACTTGCTTATTTATCTTATTTAAAAAAAATTATGAAGGAGGGGGGGATCATATTTTGTCACGTAATTTTTTTGGGGGTCGGAGATTTTGTTACGGAGTGTTACAGGGGGGAGGGGGGGGGGTCAAAAAAGTAAAAAAATCACGTTACGTAATTTGTGAACGGCCCCTAACTGGATATGTTTACAGCAGGCAAGTAATCTTGGATACTCACGTTGTCAAGTCAAGAGTCAAGAGTCAAGTCAAGATAGTGACATCAAGAGGCGATTTCGCCCATTTCGATATCGTTGTCGGGATGCCCGTCGTTAGCATTGGGAGGCGAAGCGCTTCTACTCTTTTTTTCCACTTTAGTCGGACACTTTTTCACCTAGTCCGATACCTGTTCAAGAAACTTCCCAAGCATGTGCGTCGGAGTCAAGTGAAAAAATCTCGAAACTCCAGTGACTGCAGGAGCAGTTAGTCCGTCTCCAATATGGCGACGTACTAGGTGACACGCACTTCTCACGAGACGATTTCATTCCCTATACCCTGACCTGTGATAAGGTAGGCATAGCGTTAGACCTAGCTTTGGTCTACGCCCTTCATCGTTCAAGGCCTCTTGTCAAAGTCTTTTTCATCTCAAACTGAATCGAAATGAATGTGACCAAGAATGAGTATACCAACGACAAGTCCGCGAATCCAGTTGGAACAGAGAAAGATGAGAATTTGCAGAAGAAATCTCGAAATAAGGAGAGCATTCATTCAGGCCACTTTATGGTGTCGGATTTTGAAGCGGATGCTCAAGATGATGAAGAAAATGTTTCCGTCCCTGTCCCATCTGAGTCAGCTGCCTCTGCCAGCCCTGAAGGACAGTCAAAAACTGAGGATGAGACTGTCGTCAGCGTGGTCAGTCTTTGCTCTTCTACTTTTGCAGCTATTTAAATAAGCTTGTGAAGATTGCATGGTCCCATCTTATGAAGGAATGTCCTTCTGAGCTAATTTGTAGGCTTTCATTTTTTGTGAGGGTCTATCATATTCATTAATTGCCTTAGCCTGACCTAAGCAAGTATGATATTTGCCTATCCTAGAGCTATCTTTTTCCATTAGTGACTGCATTTAGCTTAGGTCATGATGCAGCCCTTGTTACATGTTATGAATGAGTCAGTCACAGTATAACCTCATATGCTATTCTTGGTAGGCCTAAGTAGCCACATTCTCTCATCAAACTACCTATTCATGGTACCTACTTAGCGAAGGTGTCATTCAGTTGTCATAGAAACAGAGGGTGCTTATGTGATGCTGGAATTCACTGAAACCATTTATTTCCTCGGATGCTTGATTGGCAGCAAAAGCAAGTCTATGGCAAAGGCAATGAGTATGGAGTAGAAAGGGTGACCCTTTAGACAATCTGACCCCATAACCACCCCTTGCACCCTACATTGCAGAAGCTTCATCTGTTGCCAGCCCAACAAACTTTGAATTTTCAATGCCCTTTTCCCTCAATCTTGAAAGAAGGGAGTCAAGAATGGTTTCAGCTTTTCCATCAGGCATATCAATTTTGGCAAAAAAACTTGCAATAGCAAATGAAGTTATTTTTGTATATCACATAGATGGAAAGTTCCTTTTTTTTTTTTACAGTGATATCACGGTTCTGATTCATTATCACCTGAATGAATGAAGACTTTATTTCCACATCAACACTGTTCATGATGACTGTATTGATGTCAACTTGCTTCTCTTCAACAGTTTCAAGATGCTTGTATGAAGAATTTTATTTCTGATATGCATACTCTGATGAAATTTTTGAAGACCCAGAGTACTGAGCTACTTAGTTGGTATGGTATGCTAGGAATGGTCTATGTTTGGCCTATCTTGCAGGTAACATGAACATGCTGGCATCTCTGCAGAATTGATTGTAAATGAAAACCATTAAATTTTTTGCAACAATCTGTCATTCCCTCCTTCACAACTGACACAAATAAATTTAAAATGAAGTTTCACTGGTTTGGGAAAAAGCACTTTTACCCTAACCTCGTTTTAGCTTGACTTTGTGAATCCCTGATTCTGATAATACCATTTCTTTTCTGCCTTTTATTTTTTCAGGATACCTCCAGCACATGTGCTGGTGCTGAGACACCTTCTCCAAAGAGGAAAAATTCTCAAAACATCCAAATTGATGCAGACTTGACAAAACTTTTTCAATGCATGACCATTGCATACAGGTGAGAGTGAAACTTCTCTTAGGGCTATTGTGTCAATAGCTTGTTGTTTTTTTTAAGGTTATCACTCAGCTTGGATTGCCAAAGGAATTATTTTGTCTTTTTACAGCCCTAGGCCAGAAATAGTGCTCTGAATTAATGGGTGTAATTTCATTTGGGAAATATTGAACTAAAAAATCTTGAGATGAGATGAAGTGAAATTCCAGGTGTTCAGTTGAGATGACATCATTTTATTTTTTCAGCACTTGCAGGATGTTGTGTATGTACTAGAATCGCACCAGGACATAACTCATAGGCAGAGTTTCCTGCATAAATTTGCTGAAGCCAGCTTTTCATCTATTGAAGTAGACATGATTGAGTGAAGACTGGATGGTGCAAAACTAAAGTAAATTATTTCCCTGTGGGAGCAAAGAAAGCTGGTGGGGACTTAGGGTTGCTGAAGGGACTATGACAGGCTACAGCAATCTGCTTGGTTGCTTTGTAGGAAATTTTATGTTTTGGCTTAAATGTGCAATTAGTCATTATGAATGGATCTGCCCCAAATAGGACTGGGTCTTTGTGGATCAGAATGAGTGATGTTTAAGAGTCAGGAACTCAATTGGAGGATTTTTCTTTATGTTATCAGTATTCTGCCCTTCCTCTGTACTTTTAGTCCATCATGAAAGATTTTTCCTGCCTGCTTGTTTCTACAATAGGCATATTTTTTGTTTAACAGTTTGTGACACCAACCAGGGTCGGTTCCTCTATATCTCCCTAGCAAAAATAAAACTACAGAAGAAACTAAGTAAACAGGAGTAGTTCAAATCGAACTTTTGTTTTGGCTAATTTTTTCCCCTCCATTCTTCTTGAGAGGGATTCTAGAGCGTAAAAAAAGCCCCTAATCAGGGGGGGGTCTACTTTTAATTTCCCACCAGAAAATCGAAACGTGCAAAAGTACTCCCAGTCAGCCCTATAAGTAGCATATCAATGAATTACACTCTTAGAGCTCCTTCAAATGAGTGTGGTACCAAGTACACTTTGAAGTACTAGTCAATACTTCATATCTGTATCTCAAAAACAGCAAGATCGATCTCAAAACCACTAGAGCATCATAAAGAGAATTTGAATATGAGCCAATGCACAAAGTGGCTTATCTTATATTGGGCGCATTTTCATGCAAAATCGGGGAAAAATTTAGCACTATAGAGCCCATTATAATGGTTTAGTTCAATTCCCTAAAACCAGGTGACGAACCTGTCCCAAGCATTGGAATTTTCAGCATTGTAAATGAGGCCCAACCCCTTCTCATTCCCTATTAGTCAGTCACGAAGGATGCCTTAGGTCATGTTCCTCCCACCCTCCCCCTTACTTTTTTTTATCCACATCTCCCACTTGCCCACCCCTACCCCAGGATGCTTATGGCCTTAGGGCAGGCCTCTGTATGTTATGTCCCTCCCCCCCCCCCCCTGCACTTTTTTTTTATCCACGTGTCGTTCACACGCCTTGGTACACCTCGAATGGTTGCATCAAAGGGAAAATCGTGCTTCATCCCCTGCTTTCTTGCCTAATTTTCATAATGAACTTTTGTAATGAATAATTGCAGTCATGCAATTATGCTTCGATTTTTTGCGCCTAAGCCATACCCACCCTCAATGCCTCTGAGTTGGCTTTGGTTTGTGTGTTCGATTCACTGCCCCACGTGGATGTCAGAAGGCTGGGCATTTCCAGTGGATAAAAATTTGACAAATTAGTGAAATCATTGCCTTTCTGTTAGACTGGCAAGCTCCGATCAAGGCTACAAAATATGTTCGACCACGTGACAAATAAGAAATGGAGCCCAGTTAGGTGGAAGGGGAAGCTTGGGAAGTGAGCCATAGCCGTGGGCTATAGTCTACCAACGTATGTTGTGTCAAGGTTTCCCTGCTCTCCCATAGCCCAAGGATATGAATGTCTATCACACACGGACTCTGACAATGCACATAATGCACAGAAGCACATAAAGTTGAGAGGCAGGAAGACATTATACAACATCTATGAAACATTTTTGCACTAGCTCAATTTTGAGGAAAATTATGGCTCCCAAATTGCATGTTAATGAATTGTGCTCACCAAAAATCATCATAGAACAACTTATCTAAGTCTGAGAAGGGCTTGGCAGCCTCTCTTTTCTTGAAGTTTTTTCCGACCCTGGTTGGTGTTGCAGACTGTAAGTATAGATTTTGAGGATGCTGTGAAAGCCTATTATAATAATAAAAAATATACTCAATAGGTGCAATGTGGTAAAACTACATTGTGAAGAAGCTCTTCATATTTTTGACATAAGGTGACTACACTTACTTGCTGCAAGCATTTATTTTCCTTGAAACTAGATCTGTTTAGAGTTATTCAGGTAGAGCTTTGAAGGAAGAAATGAGCCATATTTTATCTCCTTTTTTTTCATGCCTTATTTCACACATATGCATTTAAGACTTAATACTTTTCTTAAGTGGGGCACATATGCTAGGAATATTTTTTTGTTATCATTCGGGAGCAGATTTGAGCTCTTATGAGTTCAGAAATATGCACATACATATGCACTTAAAAATGCTGAAATATGCATGAAATACGCATGAATGTGGAAACATTTCTTTTTATGCAGCATGAATTTTTCAGAAGGAACTTCAATGAACATTTCATGCCTCTACTGGTTATAGTTGATCTATTGCTGTCACAACCAGCAGCAAAGCCAGGAACTTGCCAATGGAGGGCAAAGGCAAACGAGTGAGGGCCAAAATATCCTAAACTTCTCTGGAGTAGTGGATGGATTTAAGGCAGAGTTAGGGGGCTTTGCCACCTGCCACCCTGTCACTATGCTACTGGTCACAGCACATAACCACTTGAAAATCATCATTGGAAGCTCATCAATAAATACTTATTCCTGGAAAACACTTATTTTTCCCCCAAAAAAGGGCTAAATATGTATAAATATGCACATGCTGAAAAAAACCTAAAAATATGCATTTTTAAATGGCAGAAATTGCCTCCTCTACAAATAAGGCATGATCCTACCTGTGTTGTGTGTTTCTAGGAGACTGCAGAAAAATTATGCATTTGTATAAAAATTCACTCCCTAGTTATCATGCAGTTCTCTGATGTTTTTTCCCTCTTTGTACAATGCCACTAAATTTAAGCTGTGCTATGAAAATATCCCATATTATCCCTTAGTTTTGCTGTCTTAGCCTCTTGTGGATGGCTTTTTTTTTGGGAGCAATGTCAAGGCCTACTTAGTATATTGCACTAAATGAATTCAATTTTCTTGATGTTCTCATCTTGATCAGAAGTTGCATTTTGAGCCTAGGTGCATTATCTGTTTTCAAACAGATTGACTTGAAAATTTGATGCAACATATTCTTATGTGTTCTTCAAGAACTGTTAAAGTTAATGTGCCTCCAGTTACCCACTTCTGAGTTATGGCAGATTTGGTCAAAATGGTAAAAATTCTGAGTTAACAGCTGCTGTTACTGCAACACATGAATCCACATTTGAGTTTTGCTTAAATCCATGAAAACTTAACGGGACATTGCCTAATGTGTGCTTTTCTCATTCTGAAAATGTCACCTGTGTGTCTAAATTTTCAGGCATTCCCTTGGAAATGTTGATTCATGCCTTGCAACAGCAGCCACATGACTGTTTACTCAGAATTTTGAACATTTTTGACAAGATCTGCCTTAACTCAAGAATGGATAGTCATGGGTGCATTACATTTTAACAGCTTTTGGAAAACATATGCAGTGTACCATTACATTTTCGTGCCAATTATTCCAAATATTTGAATTTTATAGCAAAATTTCAAGTGTTAGTTTTATTCTTAGTTTAGTCTTAGTTTATTTTTTGGCTAACATTGTAGATGTTAAGAATAATAGGTCTACAGCATAAGGATCATTTCTTACCTAGACTCATGGGAACTCACCTACCAGTTTGAATTAGTAATGTAATCCCAACATTCTCATAACCCTTTAACACATTGTCCACCATGTGACACACTGGTGTGTCATAGAGGGGGCCATAGGAAATAATTAGCAAAATTACCTTGATGGTCAATGTGTTAAGTACTATGACTGCAAATATGCTGTCTGCTGTAGATGATTTAGCAGAATGTGACCTATATATTCGTTTTTCATAAATAACTGTTTAGCACTGCCATCATGTATACACAATTGCTCTAAGAGTTGTCTGTAAATTTACAGAGTTCTATGTAAGCCCATTTTCAGCAAAATAACTCAGTCTGAGGGGCAGGACCTACTGTTTTAATGCAGTACATGAAACATTTTTTTGCATTAAAAATCTGGCGGAAAAAATCCCATTTCCCTAGCATACAAAAGGGGCTAAACATATATCTGGAACTGCTGATTCATCTGCATTTCTTAGATTTGTGGTATCAGAGAACTGGGAGGAATTAATCTAGAATAACATGGAATTAAAGTATTTGAAAGTATTCCTGACAATGTTGACTTGCTGGAAATTAATTGCTGTGTGAAATTTCAACGGTTATTTTTATCTTCTTTCATCCATGTGATAAAATGTGGAAGAAAGAACTAGATTCCTTTTGAGATGCCAAAAGAGATCCTTGCATTGGCTGAAATGCCAGAAACCATTCATGGAAGTCATCCAATACTCAAAGTTTCAAATGTGATTTATCTACACTCCATTTTTATTCTGAAATACAAGGAAGAAATGTGCCAAAAAATAAATGATGAAGTACCTAAAATTTTCTAAAAACGTTGTGTACCCTTGAGTACACTTCTGTATCTTTTGCTCATGGTAGCTATGCCTTATTTTTCAATTGAGGTTTCTGAGCAGTTCCAGAGAGTACAAATAGACCTAGACAGTCTGATGTTCTATTTTTATCTTCTAGGCCTGAATTGTGTCCATATGTGTACCCCTCATCACATCTATATTTTTTCATTAAAATGTTAGATATTTTTTTTGGTAACTTGTTTATGGGGCATTGGCTACAGTAGGGCAATGAGCTTATTGATTTTTTAATATATTATTATTCCAGTCAGAAACTGACGTCACCCAAGTGGAATCCCTTCAAAGGTGTGAAGTTGACCTGGAAAGATAAGATTCGTCTCAACAACATCATTTGGAGGGCTTGGCATATGCAGTGTAAGTACTTTACTACTATGCTACTATATACTATGGACATTGTGCACATAATAGAGATTACTAGTGATAGATTTCTGCCAAGGTTTCAGGCAAAGTGTCTGGACATAGTAAAAATTAGTTAATGAAAATAAAGGCATGCCTGGAAGAAGGTTTTAGCAGATAATATAAGAATATCCTTATTATCAGTAGCAGTCAAAAGAGGATGAAATTCTGAATAAATGTTCCCATGGGCATTGTTCTATTCCTGGTCAATTGCACATGATGCATCAAATGTGAGATGAAAAAATTCAGATGCAGATTTGGCCCCTTCTACTGGTGGATGAAATGAACTTGAATAGCTGAGTTTTTTGACACCTGCATATAGCATACTGCATCTTTGAGCTACATGCAAGTGGTCAGCAATGAATCTGGTTTTGAGTGGTTGATTTTGACATTTCTGCCGTTGGGTGTAGTGTTTTACTTACTGCCAAATGCAATTGTTTCCGGGTGCTCCCTTTTTCCTTATTGTGTTTCACACAAGTGAATAAGGAGATCTTGACTTATGTTTACATGTAATGGAGTGGTAGTTCCATAATTATATTCAAAATAATAATAAAATATTATCCATTACTGGGTTATTAGTATATCTTTGGTAATGATGTCCTCTTTGATCCAGATTATGGTGATGGGATTCTCTTCCTATACCTCATAATGCATCAGGATAAAGTTTGAGAAAAGGGGCTTAAGATATGGGGGACACACACATGCACTTCACAAGATACACAAATGCAATTTGGCTGTCTGTCAGTGCACCACATTCCAATCTAATCACCTATCCAACTTTATTAGGATAACATTGTTGAAATAAAGAGAAATATTTTGCAGCTTAAGAAAGAGATGACTTTGAGGACTCCATCTATTATGAGGCATATTGGCTTGAGCCTGACTGCAGCCATTGAGAATAATGTTAACTTTCATAATTGTCATGAGAATGGCTTCAACCTGAATTATCTCTTTCTAGTTGAGAAATTTGGAATTACAGGACTCCATGATTCCAAAAGTCAGGACTTGAGTTAGCAATGAGTAATATATTTGTTTCTTAATGTGCCGCATTGTTCTGGAAGTACCAGAGCTGTCATTTTGACCACTTGCTGTTTTTAAATGCAACTTACTCCACTTGTTCAGCAAATAAGGGATTGTTCATTTTCGACTTTTCCTATATCTAAGTATTCAACATCATGATGCAGCAGTAGACCCAGGATTGCAAAATAAATGGAGATATAACATGTCATACCCAGAACTAACAATCATTTTGACCGCCATGGAGAAATCAATGTATTTGGCTTTGTGAGCAACTATCTAAGCTACTGTGAGTCTGCATCTGACCGACTATTTTCACACGTTCGACCTGCTGTGATCACATGACCGACCTACTGCAATCTTGCGACCGACCTGCTGTTATCACATGACTGATTTGCTGTGAAATCGCACTTTTTCTTGAAGCCGAACTTCAAAGCGATGCTTATGTCTCGTGTGCTACAGTAGGATACTTTTTCAGACAAGTTGAGATTAATTTTTCCTGCAACTAATCTGCTGTATCTGTATTTGTGTTTCTGTTGTGAAATTGTGTGCAGTGGAAATGTATTGACCAAGAAAAGAACATGATACTGCACTGCAGTGCTTACAACTATTACAGGACTTATCTGAAGCTGAATCTAGAAATGAAAATGAGAAAGGCCTAAATAATGATGAATATTACTATGAACATGATGAGGGGAACAAGACACATGAGGGCTATGCTGTATGGGAGAAGGCAGGGTTTGGCAAGTGCCATGCACATGTGCAGAGTATTATGCCTATGTTGATTCCATAAGCACCTAGACTCAGCAAAGTAATATGCAGGTGGTTCAAAGTAACCTGAACCACCATCTTTCAAAATTTGTAAAATTTTTTATTCTTAAAGATTGAGCAGCCTAATTTCTTGGAGGCACACTCCCATCTATTTCTGGTTTTTAATTAAAATTTTACTATGTTTGAACAAAGGGTTGTGGAGAAATTAAATTCCTTCAAAAAGCACTCTGAATTATCACTGCTCAGAACTGAACTATCCCACAAGCAAAGCTCTGTCGTTGCAAATATTCCAAGACATCTTGATTTTCAACAGCACTTTCCAATCTGTTCCTCCAATGATCAATTGTGCAATAAATGGATTACTGTGGGTTTGCAATTGCTGTTTTCTGCTTGATCAGTCTTTTGCATAAGCAAATTGATACTGGGGACGTTCTTGTTTTTATCAGAGAACTCTCCCACTAAATTTCTTTACCCCTAGTGTTTTTCTCTCCTTAGCACTTCAATGGCTGCTCTGTTTCTTTGAAATAGGCATCTGGAAGTGATTTTTGGGGGCAATAGTTGAGAGAACTATTCCAGTACATCAAATCTGGGGAAAATGAATAAAATGTGATGAAACTGTATGAGTGTGTTCCTAAAAAAGTGCATGCTATTCTCGATCTTCAAACCTTTTGGGCCTGTTGAATGTAACCGTGCTCTAATTTTCCTAGTTTTTAATGCAACATTTGGAGTAGGTGACACCATAGGGCATGAAAACAGGATTGACACTCAGCTGCTATGATGCATTGACAACAGCACGCATTGTGCTCCAACCCATTGTGCTTTTGGAGCAGTGAAAATTCCATGTGCCACTTGGAAAATTTTAATTTCTCCCTTGTTCAAACGTAGCCAAATTTTAATTGAAAACCAGAAATAGATGGAAGCTTGCATACGAGGGCTATTCTGAAAGTTCTTAGTTACGTCATATATAACGGTACAATTGAAAAATTTGGCTTATCAGTCTTGAAAATATATACAATTCTGAAAGAACCCAGTCCAGGTTTTTTTTTTTTAACCAACCTATACATCGCCAAATATCCTTTTCAACATTCCACATATTAAAACTTTTGAACAGACCATTTGTTTCCTTAAAATGTAGATCTGTTATACATGAACAACTTAAAAAAGAAATTAAATGTTACAGAATAATGATTTTATATGATTTTTAATATTGTGGTCAAAATGACTGCTCTGGTGCATCTAGGTATGTACATACTGTTGGTACTTCTAGTATTAAACAGCTGATGACAATAGGTGGCTATCAAGGAAAACTCAAAATTAAATTTTTTTAACACCAGATCACCTTATTTAAAGAATGTATCATCATGAATTCATCAGAAGTAATTGTCATCATTGGAAGTGGTCTGGGTGCAGGTAGCAGCCACTAGCTTAATTTTGGTCTCTAGGCCATTGTACAGATTTCAATAAATAGGGTGTCCTGAAAAAACCTTTACCATTTAAAAGTTACACTGTTTCTTTAATTCAACAGATAGGCACATAAAGAGCATGGCATATTGATTGAAATGAACCAAATATTTTTCTATATTCAAGTTGTTGATTACATTAATGAAACACATATTTAAAATGACCCTCATTATGGAGAATGAATTCTTGAATGTGCCTAGCTCTATTCAAGATTACTTCCTGCTCTTGTCTGTCTATGCCTTGGATTTCCTTCCTAATGGCTTCCTTCACATCTTCTGTGGCCTTTCAAACGTTTCTCTGGCTAGAATTACAATGTTGAAATGTGTGACAGTAGTCTTCCACTGAGATGGAGTCATGTATCATACTGCTGCAGTTGTTATGGAGTGATTGCAACAACACTTTCCAGATTGTTTGATCAGGCTTTCCTTGGCTACCAAGATCCCCAGATCTCTTGCCCATAGATTTTTACCTGTGGGGTTATCTGAAGGATGAAGTGTTTAGGATGAACCCATGGACCACAGAAGATGTAAAGGATGCCATTAGGGAGAAAATACAAGGCATAGACAGACAACAAGTGCAAGAAATAATCTTGAATTGTGCTAGGCACATTTGAGAATGCATTCTCTGTAATGAGGATCATTCTAAACATGTGTTTCATTAATGCAATCAACAACTTGTACATGGAATTAAAGAAATGTACATGGTTCATTTCAATTAATATACCACACTTTTCATTGGGTCTATCTGTAGAATTGAAGAAACAGTGAAGCTTTCAAATGGTAAAGTTTTTTTCAGGACACCCTGTACATTAAGGGTGTTTCCAGTTCTCTTGTTAACCCGTTAAGTCAGTAATTTAAAATTGCTAAACATCCCCCGTGGTGATAATATGTTTGCAGTTCTGTGCAACAGTGTGAGCATCAAGTAGAAAACAAGTTTGTGTAAATTAAGGATAGAGTTTACTTCCTACATGTGAGTTTTCATAAAATTGCACTACCACACCAGACCTCACTGTCATGTTTAACTTGTACAGTGGATATACCTTAGTGGACATCGGTCATGTTGGACCTGCTTGAAGGGTTAAGGCCCAAAAGAATAGCTTCCCTCAACCATTTAAGGGAGAGGTTCTCTACCCTTTCCTCCTCTTCATGAGAATTATTAAATGTTGAGATAGAGTGGTTAAACTTAGAGAGGGAATGGGAGTCCTGATTTTATGGATCCAGTTTCCCAACTGTTCCTGCCCATGGGAGTGGGCAGTATGGGAGATGAACCTTTCAGGAGTGGTGGGATCCAGTGCGACTGGGAGAGCAAAAAATGGAGTTGCACCTGTTTGGGAATGGCAGGAATGGGACCGAGATATTTCAAGAGCAAGATCAAAATCAGAACATAAAGTGGAAAAGGGAGGAACGGAAATAGAAGCATTCAGGAGCAGGAGTTTCAATTGCTATATTTTTTCCTCTTTAATCAGATTAAAGTTGGCCACCAGGGACTGTGATAATAGACTCTAACAAAAAATTTAGCGATATCATAAAATCTCCACAATCTGAGTAAAGTAAAGACCAGACATTGTTTGAGAATGAACATGTGTGTCTTTATTAGCACTGATGACACTGGGGCCTTGAATACAGCTCCTTGTTATTTATTTACTTTTCCGGATACAGGTTTTCAGAAGAACCTCCTTCCTATTGTTGAGCAACACCAGTATCCCTAACTTACTTCTTAAAGTTAATTGACGGGAGAAAAATATTTATGAAGTATGAGATTTGGTTTTGGTTTTTGAGACTTGATCTCATTATATGGCTGATAAAAATAACCAGTGATCACAGTAAATGAACTACTGTATTTTTACTGGATTAAGGTCTACTGTATTTTTTCATTTTGCTGATGCCTGTGCAGTTTTAAATTAGAAGTGGATTTCTTTTAGAGCAGTTCCAGAGTTATTGAGTCAAAAGTGGTAAAAAATTGATTCATGAATATGTCATCCAACTTACTTTTCTTGTGCTGTATGGATTCTTAATGTTGAACAAATAAACTCTACTAATCATTCATCATCTGACATGGAATGTTTTTCTTTACTCCAGCAATATTTCAGTTTGATTAATTTAACACTTGCTTGGTGAACCTCGCTTTTTGACTAATTTGTTACGTGCTGGAAAACTTTCCTAACCAATTCATTTTTGAGCAACAAATATCATTCGGGATGAAGAACGACGATTGTCTATGCCTTCATTCCTGAAAATATGGAAGCTTCATGTGAAGCCAAATCAGACAGAATTGGATAAGAAGCAACAGGACAAAAACTACTGTTTATATGGTGTTACGTCAGTTACGCAACATGAATGGGCTTAATTTTTTCATCCATGTGAGAAATGAACAAATTTTGGTCGTAATAGGGAAAGGCATCTATGCTCAGAGGTACTGTTGAAGTAGAATTTCTGGACCAAACCACCTGTAAGGTATACTGGCATACTTGTTTTCTTTTTGAGTCGGGTGTTATGTCAGTAACTTTGGAACTGCCCTTTATGTTTAGATGCAATGTTGCCTGCTCTTGATTGCCAGAGGTAGGTAGCTCTTGAGTTCCTATCTCCTAGATTGACAAGATTCCTTCCCTCAATTGTCTCCTAGACCAATTCAAGTATGTAGGATATGCATATGTAGAATCTAAACTCTAATCTAAATGTAGAATCTAAAAGAAAAAGTTAGGAATATTGGTGTTGCTCTACAATAGGAAGGAGGCTCTTCTGTAAACCAGTATCCTGAAAAGTAAATAACAGAGAGCTGTATTCAAGGTCCCGGTGTTGCCAGTGTGAATGAAGACACACATGTTCATTCTCAATGTTTGGTCCTTACTCAGCCCATAGAGGTTTTATGATATCCCTAACTTTTTCTTTGAGTTTATTTTCTTTCACTGCACTAATTCCCAATTGGCTTTCCTTTGTAGTTGTTGAGAAACGACCTGTTCGGGTGTGCCAATTTGCTTCTCCCCTGGATGTTGACATTCATACAAAACCTGAGGTGAGGTCTATGGTATTATTAGCTGTTCTTTAGTACTAGTGAGTTTGTTTGCCCGAAGGGCAAACAAACTCGCTATGGTCGGGCCTTCGGCGCTCTTTTACCTTAGATTAATTGTGATTAAGTGATTAATTCATTCATTTCTTACGAAATGGGAAACACGTATTTAAAGTACATCCCCATTGAAATACGTGACATATGGGGTCGAAAGTCTTGATTTTTATCAAAATCATTACCTCTATGATTCTATGTGTGCCTAACTTTAAATTTTTTCTTGTGTCCCATTTTGTAAGGGTGGAGAATACATTTTGAAATGCTCCCCTCCAATAATCTGCACTAAGGATACATATTTCAAAATTAGGATTTTTCCTCTACTCAGCCATCAAACGGGTACTTCTGAGGGAAGTTTAAATTTTCTGTCGCTGTTTCGTTGGATCAAAAAATAATCAAGAAAATGGGACTGAAAAAAGTGCCCTAATCGGTTTTAATGTAATTTTTTTTTCTTTTGAAATGTAGACTCAGGGAACTCCATGCCACCCAGTTTCAGCCTTTTACATTTCCCCTTTTTGCTAGCGGAAAAAATAAATTTGGAAAAGCGACCCACCCAAAAGCTGTGCTATAAGGACATGTATAAACAAATTTTAATTTTCCTTAAATCAACATCACGTCAGTGATGCGTGCGCCAGCTACTTTTCTACGTCTGCCCGGTGAACTTCATGCCTACAAAGTTTCAATATTATACATTTGCCCTTTTCGCTGGTGAAAAAACATGCTTGGAAAAGCCAACTCACCCAAATGCAATGACTGGAGAGGATGCCCCATGAAAGCTGAATACTCCCTCAGCTTAGTAATATCAAGTCACTTATACATGTGCCAAGTTTCACATTTCCATTTCTGTCCAATTCGCCACAACAATTTTTTCTTCAAAACATCGCCCCTCGAAAAAATTCCCCCAGGGGATGTATCGAGACTTAAAATTTTTATTTAACTCTTTGTCTCAGTATAGTTTGTCTTCATGTCTTTGTCTCATTCATGCAAAGTTTCAGCTTTCCATGTTCATCAGTTCAACTGATGCAAAAAATTAGTTGAAAACATCTCCCTTTGAAATTTGTGCCCCCAGGGCATTTACTTCTAAAGTCTGCAGTTTTCTGCAGCATTCCAATAGGTAGTTATGTACTAAGTTTCATCTTTCCACACTAGCTCAATACGCCAGGACAAAAAAATACTTGAAAACGTCGGCTCACAAAAATATGCCCCCAGGGCATGGATCTAAAATTTTCCATTTTTCCTGAACTCATCATCTTGGTAGGCACGTCCATGCCAAGTTTCACCTTTCCATGTCTCTCTGTTTTACTCAAGCAAAAATAATGTTATGGTGGGGGGAATGAGTAACGGGACTTGGAAGGCAAAAAAAGCCAAGGAATGGCTGAGAATTGAACCCAGACCTTATGATTCCCACTCAGAGATGCTACTACTACACCACCAAACCCAGCACATCCAGTTGGCTCTCTGAATGACATCTACATCTGTCACAAAATATATTTAAGAAAAACGTTTCCCCCCAAAATTTGTACCCCCAGGGCATGTACCTCCAAAGTCAGATTTTTTCTGAACTCTACATCACAAAAGGTACATGTGTACCAAGTTTCAGATTTCTAACCCTTCTAACATTGTAAACATTCTAACATGGTTAGAATTAGCGTCAGTCAGTCAGTCACGATCGTCTATATAAAGCTATGCCCGGAGGGGATGCACCATGAAAGCTGAATACTCCTTCAGCTCAGTTATATCATGTCACTTAAACGTGTGCCAAGTTTCACTATTCCATTTCCGTCCAATTCGCCAAGATAATATTTTTGTTGAAAACATCGCACCTCAAAAAAATTCCCAAATGGGGATGTTTCGACACTTAACAATTATATTTCAGTAGTCACATTCATGCAAAGTTTCAGCTTTCCATGTTCGTCAGTTTAACTGATGCAAAAAAATTAGTTAAAAGCATCTCCCTTTGAAATTTGTGCCCCAAGGACATTTACTTCCAAAGTCTGATGTTTTCTGCAGCATCCCAATAGGTAGTTATGTACCAAGTTTCACCTTTCCACACTACCTCAAAACGCCAGGACAAAAAATATATAATTTAAAACGTCGGATAAAAAAAATATGCCCCATGTGCATCAATCTAAAATTTTGCATTTTTCCTGAACTCATCATCTCGGTTAACACGTTAATGCCTAGTTTCAGCTTTTCTTGTCTCTCCGCTTTACTTAAGTAAGAATAATGTTATGGAGGGGGAATGAGTAAAGGGACGCGGAAGGAAAAAAAGCTAAAATACAGCAATTACCCGGGAAATGAACCCGGACCTTTTTGATTGCCACTTAGAGATGCTACTACTACACCACAGAACCCAGCACAACCAGTTGATTCTCTGAATGCCATCCTCATCTGTCACAAAATATATTTAAGAATAACGTTTTCCCCCAATATGTGTACCCCCAGGGCGGGTACCTCCAAAGTCGGATTTTTTCTGAACTCAGCATCCCAAAAGGTACATGTGTACCAATTTTCACATTTATAACCCTTCTAGAACATGGTTAGAATGAGGGTCAGTCAGTCACTCACGATCGTCTATATACTGTATATTAGATGAAAGTAGAAATTTTTCTTTATTCGCCTATTCATCAGGTACTTCTTTGTCAAGTTCAACCTTTCCAGCAATCTCCGTTTTGCTGGATCAGAAAATTCAGAAAAATTTGCAACATTTGTGCCTTCGGGCAAAACGTACCAATTTTTTTTCCGGAATCCATACTCAGTGAACTACATGCCCATAAAGTTTCAATATTATACGTTTGCCCTTTTCGCTGGTGAAAAATCATAATTGGAAAGTCCGACCCACCCAAAAGCTATGCCCGGAGGGATTGCACCATTAAATCTGAATACTCCCTCAACTCAATAATATCACGTCACTTATACGTGTGCCAAGTTTCACCTTTCTATATCTGTCCAATTCGACGCAAAATTTTCTTTTTTAAACATCACCCCTCGAGAAATTTTCTCCGGGGATGTATCAAGACATGACATTTTTCTTTAACTCCTTATCTTGGTAGTCACATTCATGCAAAATTCCAGCTTTCCATGTCCATCGGTTTAACTAATGCAAAATAATTGTGAAAACATCTTCCTTTGAAATTCATGGATTCATGGGCATTTCATTCCAAAGTCTGAATTTTTCTGCATGCAGCATCCCGGTAGGTAATTATGTACCAAGTTTCATCTTTCCACACTATCTCAATACTCCAGGACAAAAAAAAATTATTGAAAACGTAGTCCCCCAAAAAGTACGCCCCCAGGCCATGGATCTAAAATATCTAAAAATTTCTCCTGAACTCATCATGTCGGTAGGCTCGTCCATGCCAGGCTTCAGCTTTCCGAGTCTCTCCGCTTTATTCCAGCAACGGGACATGGAAGGCAAGAGAAGCCAAAAAACGGCATGGTAGGGCTGGGAATTGAACCATGGTATCACGATTACCTGTCCGATGTACTACCACTACACCACCGAAACTGTCTTTCCATGACATCCGCTTTATTCCAGCAACGAGAAATGGAAGGCAAGAGAAGCCATGGCATCACGATTACCTGTCCGATGTGCTACCACTACACCACCGAAACCGTCTTTCCATGACATCCTTATCCATCACGATATGTATTTTTAAAAAGTTCTCCCCCCAAAATGTGTACTCTCAGGGCAGGTACCTCCAAAGTCGGATTTTTTCTGAACTCTGCACCCCAAAAGTTACATGTGTACCAAGTTTCAGATTTCCAACCTTTCTGGAACATGGTTAGAATTACCGTCAGTCAGTCAGTCACGATCGTCTATATATATTAGATGGTGATTTTTTTAGTGGAGGAACCTGACTCACCATTGAGTTATGTGATACATCTATCTTACATATTTTGATTGCTGTTATAAATTTTTCTCAAATAAATTTATCTTAATTTATCTGTAATTTCCTCAAATAAATTTATCTGTATCTAGTCCAGAAAATCATAGCACCAATCTGTAATGATGAGACAGAATTAGTGACTCTTACATCTGATATCAATGGGGTCAATAGCTTTTTCCTGGAAATTGATAGGGCTTAGGTGAAGAGCTGTTATAACATCCACTGGCAGCAACATTTATTCTGAATTTTTTGCTAGGAGACTCTGTATTAATTCTCAAATGATAAATCTCAAATGATAAATGAACCTTTATAATAATGCATGCCTTGGAATCTTTGATGATCAGTCAAATGAAAGTGAAAAAGTCATGATATGGAATAATCCTTTTATGAGGTACAGGTGAACCAGAAGTCCAGAATCATAGTATTGTACACTTTTCTCTAGAAGTGTTCAAATTGCTGTCCTAATTGGAAACACATGTCACATCTTGTTTGTATGCTGGCTGTGACTCTTCTGAGAATGTCTGGATATATTTTGTGACATTCCTACATAAATTTATGTTCATATGATGCTATGATTTTGGAATTCTGGTCCACCCTGTATGTATAATATATTTGTGTTATATTTACAGCAGTTGTATAATTATGTTTTAGGCAATATTTTGAACAAACTGTGCAGTTGCATAAATACCATGGCTTCACAGTGCATGGTGCATCCAAAGATACCCAGTAGTCACTTATTCAATTTCTGGTTACCTATGGTGTCACCCATTGAAATTTATGCCAAAATACATGCTGCTTACACTAACTGCTTATTACAGCCACATGTGGTGTAAATGGTTTGGAGTGGATGTGAGTGTGTTAAGGATGGCTCATGCCTTGACCTGGTGGATGTTATCTTCTGAGAAGTGGATATTACAAAGTTGAAGGCAATGACTCATAAGACAATAAAAACATTTAATTTTATAAATATGCTGTAGAGTTGGGAATCAATCATGGCTCTAAGAAACATCTGGGACTTGTCAGTGAAGGGGTAGTTCTCCAGTATGACAATGCCCACTCACACATATCTAGGAAAACAATGTTAACCATGATGGACGACCAGATTAAAAACATATTTCCATAGCTTAAGCCTATGGAATCCATTACCAAAATAATGCACATTACTTAGACTTTTGAAGAGAAAATTCTATTTATTAAGGAATGTCTGTGTAATAAACCTATAAATCAAGTATTGTAATGGTTTTGGAAATAATGATTCACCCATATGGGTCCCAAAGACTCATGTCATCCATCCTAGGGTTAATCATTTAGAAAGTTGATGGGAAGTGTTCTGGGTAGGTAACATTTCTATACAGATGATGAATTGGGGATGCAGTTGTATGGCTGCTGTTTGCACCCTATGAGGTGGGCATACAAATCTTGCAGACCATTGGGATGTGTGCCTCAACAATGGCAGAAGTTACTTTGAAAAATAAGACATGTACTGTCATAAAATAATATTCTCATTTTCATGTGACTGACCCTTATTTAATTCATTCCTTTATTGTGCAAAGACTAGCTAGGCCTGCTGGATGAATTTAGTTCACTGAAGCTGAAATTTTGACATGTCCTGCCCATAATAATGTGCTTCTCTGGTTTCATCCTGAGTCATGACTCAGAAGTGTACCTATTCCATCTACTGGTATTTCATTTGACATGGTTGGTGGTGGTGGCTATCCTATGTCCTATCCTATATGATTGGAAATTTTCCACTCATTTGCTAATGGACAGCTTCTGTGAAATTTTTTCAATTTTTTTCAACCTTCAGCTGACACTTTGGACCTGATTCAAGTTATCAGAAGATAGACTAATTACAAATTGGCTCTACCCCCTGAAAGAACCACTCAGTTCAAAGGAAATAAAGTCTCACATTGTTTCCTTCCCTATTGTTGCAGGAAGATCTTAAGATTAAAAAAAAAAATGAAATATAGAGAAATTTTATCTCCCTGTCTTACAGAACTGGTGTTTATTTATTTTTTCTTCCGGAAATCAATTAACTTATAGCATCAGCCTGTAACATCCCACTTTAGGATTTTGTTTTATGTTTTTGTAAGTTGCCATTCTTGAACTTTAAGTAGCTTGGAGAAAGTCTCTCAATTGGAAACAAAACTGTGGCTTGACATATCGTGCCCTAATTAGGTGAACTAGAAAAGAATGTATTATATAGGCCTGAATGCACGAACCTCCTTTAGTTAATGTTCCTTTAAGAACATGTGGACTCCTATGGAGGAAGAAGAGCTGTTTAGCTTATAGGCCCCCTTTATGTCCCCTAAATGAGGTTTGTGCATTTGGGCCATAGTCTTTAAGGTTTGAGGTTTGAGCAGGGACATCAAGGCATTTTTTTCCATTATGATGTCCCATGTCAAGTTCAGGCATTCATGTAATAGATAGGCCTACCACACTTACAAACAGATTTTTTAACCTTTATCAAACAAATGTTGCAACTGCTGTGCCACAGAATGCATTTTTTCATGGCCTAAAGGTACAAATGCTGCACTGCAACTTTTTTGAAAAAATGCTCTGATATTAAATGAATAATTGCTCAGTTAGTGAGTGTTTAAAAGCTTCATAGAAAATATCTGGCTGCCAGCACTTACTTGGGAGATTTAAACCTGTCTGATAAAGGTTAATGGAAGCATATCCTGTCTATCTACTATGTTGTTATTTACAGTTATATTTTTCCCTTTTTTTTTCCTTTGTCCATGAAGGCATATAATATATAATCTCTTCTTAACCCCTTCACTGGGTACAATGAGTATACTCATCTTGGTGTAATGAGAAGGAGGAATATACTTCTCATGGGATTTGAAGATATAGAACTGTCATTCAGTGGAACGTTCATGGAAGATTATTCCCCTTGAATAAAAAGTTGTTAAATGAAGTTTCATTACATGCCAGTTAGTGGTGGAAGCTAACCACATAAAGGACAGCCACTCTATTTGCCCAGAAGCTCTTAATTGCACTTAGCTTGCACCCTGTCTTCCACCCCTGATGGAGAAATCTATTTTAGTCTTGTCAGCAAATTGTATGGTTCACTAGGCCCTGACCCAAATCATTGATGTAAACCACAAAAAAATTGGTCTCAGGGCAGAGCCCTGGGGGACATTGCTCATTGCCCCAACTTCTGCTGACACTTCTCTGTTTACCATTATTCTTTGCATTATTCTAGACAACCAGTTAACTATCCAGTTACTCATCCTACTTTGAATCCTCTGTGCCTCCAATATAGCCCATAACCTCTTGTGAGGAACAACATTGATAAATTTTGCAAAGCCATGCTGATGGCATTCCCTTTATCCCTCTCATCTGTCACCCAGTAATAAATTTTGATTATGTTGGTTAGACAATTTTGCTGCTTCCTAAAGCCATTCCTGGATCAACAATTTTCATGAACCATCTCTGACATTTTCTTGAGACTCGTTGGCCTATGATTACTTTGATTGTTCTCATCTCCCTCTCTTAGCTGAGTTCTTCTTGGGTTGAGCTATTAACTTCAAATTAAGTAAAACTTTGATGCTGCAAAATTCAAATGAATGTGTTTCTGATGAAACATATTGGTGAAGGGTGTTCAAAAAACACCTTTACATTCAATTTAATTCATTTTTTCATTATTAATCAATTTTTATTACTATTTTCAGTTATTTCTGATGATATATATAAATAAATCCTTCCATGGCACCTGCCGGTATTGGAGATATGAGGGGGGATGAACCACATCCCAGACGTCATACTCGCCTAATTCTGGAAAAAAAAACAAAAAACATATATATATATATTTACCTCAAAATGAATTCTGACTCTAGAACATACCTTAAAAAACACATTGAAATGTTTTTGGAGAAATATCCAGATAAAACCATCAAGCAGGTAAAGAAATTCCCCAAATCTGGAAATTCAAAATATGATTTTGATCTCATCTCTCACCAAACCATGCACAATTTTGTGCGCTACCAAATTGCTAAATTTGCAGACAAAGGCCTGGTTACCAAGCATTCAGGTGGAAATGGAAGACCAGTGACTGCAACAACCCCCATGATCAAAGCCAGAGTCAAGCATCTCATTGCCAATGAGGCATAACAGAGGACTGAGGAAGGTGGCAGCCAGAACTGGAATTTCTGTTGGAAGTGTGTCAAACATTCTGAAAAATGGTGGATTGTCCCCCTACCATAAAAGGAAGGTTCAGGGAATGACAGAGGTTCACAAACAGAAAAGGGTAACTTTCTGCAAATGGATGCTGAAGTGGTATGGGAGGAATCCTGACACTTCCAGGTTTTGGAAGAATTTTGTCAATATAGATTTCTCTGCAGCCATCAGGCTTCATCCTTCAAGAAACTCCAAGAATGTTGTCTGGAGTCACTCCATCCAGGAGGCCGGATAACTCCTCACTCACAAGGAAGAAAAGTTTTCTGCTGGAATCATGTTGCTTGGTGGTGTCACAGTGCAGAGTCTGATTCCAGACAAACCTCTGTTCATGGATGAGTTTTACTCCAGATATGATCCAAAACCTAAAACTGTCAATAGATTAATCACACAGACATCATCAATGATGTTGCTGGGCCTGCTATCAACAAACTCTATCCAAATAAAGATGCTCCCTGGCAGGATGACCTTGCTTCCATCCACAGGACCGATGTTGCAGTGACAGTTGTTTCCCTATGACAGGGTTCCCTATGACAAGCAGGCACCAAAGATGGCTGATGTATGGCCAATTGAGAATGTTTGGGGAATCATAAAGGGTAGGCTGGAGAAGGAGGACCTGACTAGTATCAAGCAAATGAAGAAAGTCATCACCAAAGAATGGAAGATGACAAAGATCTCTGCAAGAGACTGATTCACTCCATTCCCAAGAGATGTCAGGCTGTTATTGACATAGAAGGATGCCAGATCACAAAAGGGGACTACTATTAAAGAGTTACTGTTAAATCATGTTTATGATATATTTTTGTGTTTGTAATCAATTTTTACATGGTACTAAGAAGAAAAAAATATATATATAATCTAAAACAAATTGTAAAGGTTTTTTTGTTTAACACCCTTTAAATAATGGATTTAAATAATGTTTTAGGAAACATGGAGTACTATTTGAAGAAAATGGAAAGCAAGTAGCTGTTGGGCCAAATTCTAGATTTTTCTGCATTCAGTACACCGTCAAGTTGTACAGCATTCATTAGGGTGTGAGAATTTATTTGTGGTCATCTCTTTCAGACTGTCCTGATGGAAGGGAAGTACTGGAAGCGCAGGGTCCCTGCTGTCTTGGCTGAGTACAAGCGTTGGCGCATCCACTACAAGACCCATGCTTTTCGAAGCAAAGGATCCGACAGTTTTGAGGCTGAAATGGTGAGTTATTTTCCATGCTCATCAAAACCTTTATCTTCATATTTATCACAACTAGGAGTTGTTTATTGGTGTCATCACTAGTTCAGTTTTCAAGTGTGAACAACTCTAGATGAGAGGGATCTCAAGGGCTGTCCAAGTTATCATAACAAGAAATAGGACTACCTCCTGACCATGTGAAATGAAGCCTAAGACAGATTTAACTGTTAAGAAAAGAGTTTTAGCATCCCACAATTTGTGTATCCAAAGAATCTCAGCTTCTCTGAAAGGATATGCATCAGCTCTGAATAGAATGTAACACTGAATTTTCACTATGAGTACAGACTGCCACTCACAGTTATAGCAATGGTAACAGTCATAAGGATTCTGATTCTTGAGGAAAATCTTCTGGTCCCCAGCACAGCAGGGAAGACCTAGGATGATCAGTCCAAAGATGGAGTGTCATAATTAGAGCATATGAAGGAATCAAATGGAGTAGCTCAGGATAGGATGAAATGGTGTATGCTTGGAGGGGCCATTATCCAGCAATAGACAGATAATGTTTGCTACTCATGATAATGCTGACAACAAAAGCCAGCAATGTATTGGCCTTTGGGAAAGATGGAATGTATACTTTTTTTGTAGTAATTTCTGTAGAGAAATTCAATACTCTGCCACTAAGTTGGCTGATGCTTAATATACCTTTCACCTTTAATACAAATTCCAATTCCTTTTATGGTTAGAAACAGCTTTCTTCTGTTGGAAAAAAAAATACACTAGTTTTCCATTGCCATAGCATAGCACACATTAAGTATCCCCATGGAATTAGCAGGTGAGCAACAGATTAGGAGAAAAAATTGACTTTGAAGGATTAAATATTTGCCATAGTGAGCAAATTGGAATGCTTAAAATGCCATGTAGTTACAAAATTCCAAGGTTTTCTCAATATCTATTGACTGTTATGTAGAACTATCGGTAACCCATGAACAATCACGTTTTCCTGATTGAGACTAATTGTATTCATATGAGACAGACCAATTGAATATGGAACTTCCATGTATCATATGGAGAACATGGGATGCTTTGAGTCATCAGAGACCCCTAATTTATATTTATATCAATTTTCAGTAAGTTCTGCCTCAAAGCATTCTAAAGAGATGCAATGTTCAAATTTCAAACAGCCCCCTGCCTAGCTGCAAGGCATGTAGATTGACTCAGTTTGAACGACCTGACCAAGGGATAAGGAATTTAGCTTTGTTGGAAATGAAGTTCCCAGTTGGGTGCAGGTGAATATTTCAGGAGATGCATTGAGTTCCAAAAGTTAGAGGCTTAAGCAGGCTGCAGGCTGGCCGATTGATCCCACAGGATCCACAGGTCAGGCCCACAAAGCTCAGTTGGCAATTGAGCTCCAGGTTTGGTCTGGAAAAGTCTACTCGTGGAGGCCTCTGGCAGACAGATGGAGGACGTTGGCTATTATTGCATAGATGGAAACATAGTTATGCAATAAAAGAATGGTAGCAAAAACAAGGAAAGGTGCCATCTTTGTGGCATTTGCATAGAGGGAGTCAATTGTTCCCTCCCATCAGTTACTGCTTCACAATCCAGAAGGATCATGTTTCCAGCATACTTCATGTTGAGAATGTAACAATATTCGATTTCATATTAATTGCTTCTTTGGTGTGTTTGATAATGAAAAATAGCATTTGCCATGAACCCTTTTCTGCATAATTAATTTCAAACACTGATATGTTACATTATAAGACTTATTGCTATTTGGCTAGATGATCAGTATTAGTAAAGGCATGTAGGGTGCATTCTACCCATCAGGAAACTTCACTGGTCATCATAATGAACTAAGATTTTAAAAATTCAGCATGTGTTGCATTTCACAACAAAGGGTTAATCAAAGTTTAGCTGAAGAATTGCTTCATGAATCTCTCTATCAAGTGAGACTTGTTAGTGTTTGTCACAGAGAAGTTTTTTTGATGCATGCTTCAGACCCAAGTTATATGTGCTCCTTCAATATCAATTACCAGTATCAGATTTGAAATACCATGAGGTTGAAATAATGCTTTATCATATAATTTCGGTTTCATGACATCCCTTCTTCAAGTCCATCCTTCCCACGTGCTTCCTTGAAGTGAGTGATCATAGATTTTAGCTTCAGAACAGAAGGCACCTTTTTATTGTTAGAAAGTAAACCTATCAACTGACTTGGCCTGGCAATGAGAATTATGATGTGTGTATGGTTCAATCGCCAATAATCTATTCTGTGCTATTCCCTCCTTCCTTATGCATTTCTTAGAGTCCAATCAACTTGGATAGCTTGGATTGGAGCTTGATGATGAGAGGAGGGACAAGTGCATTAGATGATGACCTCTTCATGGACTTCAATGACACTCTCTTCTCAACCCTCATTCCCAATCAGCCATATGCCTTCCCAAACCCAAGGGAGATTGGTTAGTCCCATCTTTTTATGGTGCACTGGTCTTGATTGTCTAGAGGCATTCTGTGTTCTACTCTATCCTTGATTATTCCTGATCTTAGCATTATGTATAGCAAAAGACTTGGCCTATCCAATTCAAGTGGATATTTTCTTCATTCCATGGTAAAGAATAATTTATTTTGCTTGGTATATGCTTCTGAGCTGGGAAAGAAACATTGTTGCATTATTTTAACAAAGTTCTATCCAAAACTATGGCAAAAAAAGGGTTTTAGGCTTTTAAATTTGGCAGCCCCTGAGCCTGGAAGTGTACACTACTAATTGAGTGGCAGTTATGATTTGACTATTCCATTGTGCAAGTTGCCATTACCCAACCTTCTCAGGATAACTTAAAAGCCTTACTGCTTGCCTTGGTCATTTTATTGATGAATTATGATTGACTGCTGCCAGTTTTGTGATCCCAAGAGGCCTATTGGGGAACAATACTTGCAAAATGGAAATTTGAATCTAGCTTAACCTTCTCCTGCATTGATTAAATGTGACTTTTTCTGACATTTTAACCCATTTATTTCAGCAAAGTCAAATTTTGTGATTCTGAATTTAAAAATTTGTTTCTTCAAAACTACTGAGTGGAACTCCATGAGTAGTATAGAGCTGTCATGCAATTTGAAAGTATGGGTATGCTCTACTACACAATGTGCAGGAGGCCAAAATGTATTTAGCATGCTCTACTATGCTACATGTGGGAGAGGGTTAAATTAGCCTTGTCACCAATTTGTATTCATGTTTGGAATCGGTTTCAGAAGGTGGAGTGAATCTCTTGTCTATCTTGTTATCAGCTTTGATATAGAACAATAACTGAGATTAGACCATACTTTGGTTGTGGATAAGAATGCCTGAGAATGTAATGGTGTGAGAAGGCATGAAAACGACTGTAATTGAGGTTCCACCAGTCATATGACATGCTTTGTTGTAGCAAGAGGAGCAGGTCTGGCAGACTTCATGCAACCTGGTCTTGTCCCATTCCAGCCTAATTTGGATGATTATATGGATACCCTGGGGTATCAGGGTGAGTTCCATCACATCCACCATCCATGTCCAATATCTTTGGTAGGCATGGCTAGATGGACTTTAATGATTCATTCCTCATGCTTATGGGTGCCAGAACTGCTTCAAACGAGGCTGCCATCTGTACCTGAGGAGGAGGCACAGGCAGTGGAAATTCCAGATTTGCAGCCCAATGTGTCTAATTCAAGGTCATCTTCTGAAGACACTGCCACTGTCACCAACTCTGCCCCCCTCACTGATCATATTGAATCTTGTACATCACTCTATTCAGCCACTGTTGCTGGTGAGTCCTCTCTATTATTGCTTGAGATACCTTGTAACAACAGAAGAAATTGCTTTCAACATTCTTATTTTGGACTCTCACTTGATATTGATTTCTTGTTTATTGCATCTTTCAAAAATCCCTCACCTTGACTGGCATAACTTTTGAAAGTGTTCTGGCCTTTTTGCCTCTTTTCTCTTTACCCTTTTTGGTGCCTTGCTTAACACTTTCGCTGCCAAGTAATTTTTTGGTGGTAGTTTCCCCGAGGCCAAAGTAATCTTCCTAATTCTTGTGTGCGTGACCCAAGTGATTTCACGAAAGGTGGGCATCCACTGGAGACGATGAATGAAGTGGATGGCAATCAAGAACCATAAGGAGGAAACTTTGAGCTTGTTAGCAATAACTGCTGGCAATCAAATGGTACCCATGCATTGCCATTAAATTTTAAAACCTGTTTTGGAGTGACATTGTTCTCACATTCTTCGTATTTCTTGGACCTTGAACCTTGGGACTTCACGCTGATTCCAAAAATGAGGTGCCTTCCATAAAAAAAAGCCACCTTTTCAAGGACATAGGTGCTCTCCAGTCAGTTGTGATATGGACAGATTTGCCAGGAATGGGTTACAGTCAGTGTTCTAAGTTCTTTACAAATGAAAGGAAATGTGTGTTACAAGTCAGAGGATTTAGAGGGTTGGCTAAAAAAAAAATTATGCAACTCGATTTTTTTTATTTTTAAGAAATTCACCTGCAAATTTACTTAAAAATGTAAAGATACCTTGTCTACAAGGTTCTTCAAGAGCTGTTAAAGTTTTGTGCCCCCTTGCCCATCCACTCTTGAGTTATGGCAGATTTAATCGAATTGGTCAACATTCTGAGTGAACAGATGTGACTGCCCTTGGTGAGGCACGAATCCATATTTGATTTTTGCTCAATGAATCAGTTCCTCTGGACGAAACCTCACAAAAAATTAAGAGAACATTGACAAAAAGTGTGTACTTAACCATAAAAAATGTCATGCATCTGCATGCATTTTTGTGCATCCTTATGTAATTTGGATTTGTGCTTCACAATGGCAGTCACTTGCCTGCTCACTCATTTCTTTACCATTTCAACAAAATCTACCATAACTCATGAATGGATACGAAATAAATTCTTGTAATTTTAAAAACTCTAAGAAAACGTATTAGGCAATATTCCATTAAATTTTCAGGCTGATCTGTTCCAAGGTATGGATTCCATTGGGAATTTTCAAGTTGCTTACTTTTCTTGCCATCCATGTATTTCATAGGGGATCATACTGAAACAAAACTTCTGAACATGGTTTCCTCATATGAAATCCAGTTCTGGAGCTTTTTGATATGTCCATTACATATGAAGACTCCTGTTTCTGCATTCTCATTTTAATATTTTGTTTATGCATAATAGGCCCCTAATAAGCATAAATGAGGAAAAAGTATTTTCCATTTCATTAATATATGTGGATATGCTTATATTAACTACATAATAATAATAAATGAGTCAAGAAACACCACCAATTTTATTTAAAGTTAACCTCCTCAGGAGGTGACGATAATATTCCTAAGATGAAAGGAAGAGGCCAATAGATTGTATCAAGCAAACCTATGCAAACGTCACACTGGCAGGTTGTATGACCCAGTAGAAGAAACCTGTACCACCCACCAGTGGCTTGTATGACCCAGGAGAAGAGAGAAGGTGCAATACTTCAGTGGGTCATGTGGTCCCCTTTAGAAGAGAGATCTTACAGCCTGCTGGCAGGTCATATGCAGGTGCTGGCAGCGAAAGTGTTAAAATTTAGCTTCTTTTTTTCTTGTACTCTCCTGCCCTAAACTTTTCTTTCTGCTTGTTTTAGATAAATCTAGTTATTAACTTGACATTTTTTTTGCAAGAACTGTTTGACTTAGTCACATGAACCTGAGTTGGATTAAATTGTTTCAAGTGTCCCAGTGGATGGGGGGGGGGGGGGGGGGGGGGGGGCTCATAGATCTGGATGAAATTTAAGATATTACTTGGTAAAAAATTAACATTAGCTAATATTTTGTCTGTTGGCACTCTTGGTTTCCAAGATATGAGTTCATAAAATTTTCCCCTCTGCATAGTCATGCAAAATTTGTGCAAAATTCAATACAAAACAATTGACAAATGATACTCCAGAAGGTATTTGAGGTACTGTAGTACTCCTTTGTTCATATGAACATTTGAACATTGAAGACTTCATTTATTTCCACTTTGCTCCAAATTCCCTATTTACATTTTGACATTTCATGCTGTACACAAAGTAAGTTTTTTTTAAACAAATTTAGAAAATTCCAGTATGCTGTTTTGTCTGAAATGGTATCTGCAATTATTTTGCCTAAGTTTGCCTAAAACTTGAAACAATAGTCAGTAATTGGGTTCCTGGATTTTGAGACTTCAAGCTTGAATCATGAACCAATAGGCTATTATTACAAATTTCAGGTGAACTTTCAAACCACCCTATCCAACTTCTTTGCCAAATCCTGTTAGATGATGCCCAAACTCTTGGAACAAATCATGGCCCTCCTAGGGTAAAGGTGTTTTTTTGTGACTTCTGACAAACAAAATTATTGTCCTTGAACACACTCTGACTTGAAAGTAGCTCCATTGTCAAAGATAGTCATTATGTGGAGAAAATTCTGGAACTTCATGGAGACCCGACATGATGACCATGATGGCTGCATATAAGAGCCAATGACTAATAAAATGATTGAAAGTACTGTAAAGTGGGGTCCCACTTTACAGTATTTTCAATAAATTTGTTAGTTCTTTCTAGTTAATGCTACTGGAAGTGATACCACTGGTGATACCACAAGTTGCCCCAATTTACAGTAGTTAACAAACAAATTTGTATGCACTTTATGAACACTAGGAGCATATGATGGCCCTATAAGATTTGTGAAGTTTATATTTTAAAATAAAAATTTTCAGGAATAATGCAAAACACCATCTTTAAATTGTATGCATTGGTTGAGCAATAGCAATGTTTTATGTGTGGTATTGAGCAAAGAATGAAAGGGGATTTTACAGCAGAGCTGGTGAAAAGTCATATGTCTCCACTTGATGATGACTTCTTTGTTTTCTAGATGAGGACAACTTTTATTGCACAAAATGTAAGAGCTTTTCAAGAACTCACACAAGTCAAAGAAATGGTGAATAATGTTTTCTAGACACTGGGCATTGTATCATTTTGTAGAGGTAAAAAATGTATGACTCTGTAGCTTGGAAAGTTAGAGTGCAAACACAGAACAAAATGAAAAATTAATTCCTCAGTAAGTCCACAATCCATGCCAAATTTTCCAGACCCAATTTGATCCACACATCTTCTCATTGTACTTAACAGGGAAAGACCCAGTAGTGAGATGAACATCTGCTTATATCCTTGGTTATGGATAAAAAGGGTCTTCTCATTTCAAACTAGGGGTGGTGATATTTTTTTGTTTGGAATAGGATATTTGTTGCTGATAGGGAACGGCAGTGTTCATTCGACATATAATATTTTATACTTGTTTTATATTCTTTTCTTCACATGAGGTGGGGAGGTGATAAGAACATCAGGAAGAGGAGATCCAATGAAAACATATGAGGGTAGGTCTAGGCCTTTTTAAGAATCCGCTTTGGACTTGGATAGTATTGTTGCCTGTGAGAAAAAATTAAGCAACCAATAGATTTAGCAATATCAACTAGGGGTTACTGGAGCATCCATCATGAGAACATCAAGTATCAGAAGGATATGAAATCATCACTGCTGCTCTTAACCCAGATATGCCTGGCATTCTATATATAAGGGCAACATGCAGAGATGCACACTATGAACTTTGACATGTCTTGGTCAGCTGTTTGAATTGACACAACTTGATCAGCTGCTAGCCACAGACTGAAGAACTACTTGGGTGTTGTGTGCCCCTAGTGCTGTCTTTTGTTCAACAATGAACTACAGATGGCACTAGTGGCACACCACTTACCTTTCACTTAATTTCCATGCATATTTCTGCATGCCATCGTACATATTGAACTTTAGGTATATCTGGGTTTAAACATTCAGTGGGAAGAGATCTTCCAGGTCTTTAAAAAATTTTCATTGCAGGCAGAAGTGACAAAGTTTTATGACCTATATCATTTTATTGTGTATGTACCATCGCTGGCTTGACAAGGTGAGAATAGGGAATATCATTTATGAGGAAAATTTATTACATTGTGTTCAGATGTACATAATGACAATAAGCTTCTTGCCTAAGTCTTGACCTCCTTTTGTAAAAGTCAGAAGCAGATGATAAGTGCTACTCATGGAGAATATCCCTTACCCATGAGAATACATTTAATACATAGACATGATGTAGGGTACTGTCCCATCTCTGCTGTGGTTGGGATTTGTGATTCATTATTGATTGTCAGGAGGGATTCCTGACGTTTTTGGTCTGCAGCTTGATGAGATATTTTAAAATTCCTATAATAACCTATTTGGCTTGTGGCAGGCTGACTGATAGGTCTGGATGTAGCACAATGAGGCCTGATGCACCCCAAAACATCAAATTGCTCTGCCCTAGTAGCCAACTTGTCAATAGTTGTCCTGGAAGTACAGTGACTATTGCAGTCCTAGTTATCCTGGACAACAACCAATCCAGTATGAAACTCCTGCAACAAATGTGTTGTGCAAGTTTTGCTTTGTCTTAGTCACTCTCAAGCAGAAGCCCCTGCATCATGATTGGACTTGGAATACCATGACCTTCCAAATCATTGAAATCCAACCTCATGACATGGATGCATGAAGCATTAAGCCAATATATCCATTTAACTATTGATTCTCTGGATGTGAAGTTGTTTTTCATGTGGAAAGTACAATGATGGAGTAGATAATCTTTTAGGAAAAAAAAGTTACATGAAGACTGCACTAGAATAGATTATTAAAACCATGTAATAGGAGGATTCAAGAGCTTTAAAGATGCATACCGTGGTATATGCCAGCACAACTCCTTGATGAAGAAATACTTTGTGATGCAATGTGTTTTGCAAGCAAGCAGCTGTTTTGACATTGAAAATGCCTTGACTAAATGCAAGCATTGATGTGTGTAGCCACAGCGGCATTGGAGCATCCATCCTATTGCCTGGAGACGAAGGGGGAATCAGAAGCAGGAATGCAGATCAGAAGGGAGGAAGTTGAATTGGGAGTAGGAGTGAATGTATTTGAACCCAGCTCAGGGCTTCAGAATAGCAACAATGTGGTGTTCCATGGGACTGTAAGAGGAAGTGGGAGGCGGTCAGTGTTTGCCTCATCTCAGCCCTTGGGGACCACCCAGAGTCCCCCAAAACAAGGATCACCACACCCACTCATCGCCTCAACCTCCAACCAGACTTCAAAGCCTCTCACACATCCCCACTGCCTCCCAGGTTAATCTCCTGTTTGCATTCACAAGTTGCCTTGTGCTATAGACCCTTCTATCCATTCCTACCACATACCTAAAACCTTGCCTTTTTTTTAAACTTTGCTTTCTGACCCTGCTTGAGTTATGTGTGTGGAAGTCATTCTTCAGTGATTCTTGATTTTAAAATGAAAAATGCCTCAAAAATGTCATTGCATTCATTTTTGGATTGGGTAAATGCTTTTAAAAAATTTAATGGCTATGGACCTAATGCTGAAACCTTCTTAAGTTAATGATCTTTTAAGAACACATAGATTCCTATGGGGGAAAAAGAGCTCTTTAGCTTAATGGCCCCTTTATTCCCTTAAGTGAGGTCTGCATTTGGGCTTATTTTTCATGTGCTGTCATGTGCTCACCACAGTATAGGTGATTCTGTGATTGAGGTTAAAATGGAAAATGTCAGAAAAAATCAGAGTTTGAATGGACTACATGGTTCCAATGTGTAACATTCTGGTGCCATACTTGCCATCTTACTTTGATCACAGAAAGCAAACAAATAATGATAGTGTTCGCTGCTGGTTTTTTGCTTAATATCTTATGCTTACCAAGGTATTTTAAATGCATTAACTTGATGTCAATACACTGGGTGTAGAATTTGTGTAACAAGGTTTATTTTTCTCTTATTGCATGAACTTGATGAAAGGATGCAATTCAAATCTGAAATTTTTAGAGGAAATGTCAATGCAAGGCATGTCTATAGAGTGTTTATGCATGCACTTGCTAAAGGGTCAATCATCAGTGGGGAGTGGAGGCATGGCTTCCATTTCTATGATGTGGAATGATGCTTGGACCAAGGTGTCAGTTTTCAATAGAGGTGTCTTTTATTTTATTTGCAACACTTGTTTCAGAATGAATATTTTCAAATACTCTGCAGGAGGGATGGAAGAAGTCCAGTATGGAGCTAGTTCTTCAGGACCCTCAGTTGCAGTTGGGACTGAAGGAGTATTTGCAGTTCCTCGGGTCAGTGTTCTCTTCTCTTTGCTACAAATCATTGATTGCTATACATTATAAGTAAAATTAACCCATATCCATCTGGACCTACTCTTTCAGCTTAAGTTAACCCCTTTCATTCCTTTCCAGTATCTGAATTGGACTATGCTGGCAGTAGCAGTTGACGCTTTTCTCCTTTCTCAGCTGTCACTAATAACTCTCCTGCTGCCATTAATTTCACTTGCTGATTGCTAAGTGCTAAGGAGATCATTTTTATTTTGGCCATTTTACTGTTGTGCAAGATAAGAGGTAAAATATCAGAGTTCCTCTCTTCTGACTGCATGAGACAGAGATGAGTTACCAGTGATATCAAGTTATTCAGTTTTAAGTTCATTTGAGTTGAAGAGCAGTCTAAGCTTATCTCCTATTAACAAACTTTCTCTCTACAGAAGATTAACTAAGTTTTTGACTAGTTTATTGAGTCAAGAAACTTAAACTTAATTAGAACTATAGTGAAAATACAGTTAATCAGTTAATTTATTCATAAGAGTGCATGAAGGGTTTGTTTCCATACTATGAGGGGCATTTCATAAATTCTGCACATAATTTTTTTTCTCTTTTATTGACAATTAATCCAACAGACTATATCTATAGGCCTTCTACATATTCTCCTTCCTTAGCAATGCAGGACTCCCAACGGTGTGGAAGGCTGTGAATGCCAGATAAGGTGCCATCTTTGTTAAGTTGACGAATGCGTCGGGTAACGGCACAAGAAAGTTCTTTCAAATCTGCAAAACGCACACCACGCATCTCTTCTTTGAGTTTTGGGAACAGGTCATAGTCTGGAAATTCTCCTTCCTTAGCAATGCAGGACTCCCAACGGTGTGGAAGGCTGTGAATGCCAGATGAGGCACCATCTTTGTTAAGTTGACGAATGCGTCGGGTAACGGCACGAGAAAGTTCTTTCAAATCTGCAAAACGCACACCACGCTTCTCTTCTTTGAGTTTTGGGAACAGGTCATAGTCTGGAGGACTCATATCAGGACTGTAAGGGGGGTGAGGAAGAATTTCCCAACAGTACTTGGCCAATAAATCACAGTGATGGAATGTTTGCACACCCCTGGCATTGTCATGGAGGATGAGAACCCCTTGTTGGTGGAGTTCCGGGCGATTCTGGTGCATTTTTCTTCGAAGTTTCTGCAGGAATTGGCTGTAATATGCTCCTGTAACACTAGATTTCACAGGTACACGATCAGTAACAATCACACCGCGACAGTCGTAAGCAAAGATCATCATCTGCTTAACTTTTGATTGTGAGCGTCGACATTTCTTGGGCCTCGGTGAATTTGGGCTTTTCCATTGGTTTGATTGGGACTTCAATTCTGGTTCAAAATCACGGATCCAAGTTTCATCAATAGCCACTATTCTGTCCAAAAACGCTTCCCCTTCTGCTCTGTAACGTTGCAGGAGTTGCTGAGCAATGTCACGGCGTGCTGCTTTTTGATCATGTGTGAGCTGATGTGGGACCCACTTGGCTGCCACTTTTCTTTTGTGAAGATGCTGGGTGAGAATGCGAAACACTGACGTGGCTGATATCCCAGTATCTTGAGAAATTTCCTCACAGGTCATTCGGCGATCCTCTTCAATCACATTGGCCACACGTTGCACTGATTCGTCCGTTATTGCACAAACTGGTCTGCCAGACCTTGGATCGTCATTTATGCTCTCCCGCCCACAACGAAAACGTGTGGCCCAATGAGACACTTTGCTCCGGTCTACTGCATCACTTCCATACACCTCCACAAGAATAGCGTGAATTTCTGTGGGAGTTTTTTTGCACAAAGTTTCAATTTTAATGTATGATCACTGATCATTTCGTGTCACCGTACCCGAAAACTCTGCACTGGCCATTTTGAAAGTTTTACTGTTTCTAAACAGCAGCACTTAGAGCAACAAGATTCGGCGTGAAAGCACTCATTGACTCAAACTATAACTGGGACAAAAATGGCAGTCATAACATCATCCAGTATTCAGTGTTGCCAACCTGTGCAGAATTTATGAAATGCCCCTCGTAATTCATGTAGACTAGTGTCACCCTGCATCACTTGGCTTGGACATATTTTCATGAGGACATGGAAGCATGGGAAGCCATATATTTAAAAAATGGTCAGATTTTGCTTAAATTTTTTGTCACATGAATTTTTCCAGAAGTCATGATACATTTAACATTTCAAGCAAATCCATTCAGATTGAGCAACAAATTCATTTTCTTTTTACATTGGGTTGGTATTGAGTAACCTTATGTGTGAAGATGTGTTTAGGGTTAGATTCCACTCCAAGTGTTACAATGTCTTAGAGTACATAGGTTGCTGTGAATGGAATACTGGTTTGCTTGCATCAATTTAAAGCCTATTTCCTGAATTTCTTTGAAACAGTTGCCAGTAAAGGGAAAAAGCCCCTGGCAGCAAAAGTTTTAAAAAATAAAGTTGTGGAAGGTCCTCCCTTTGTTGCTGCAGGCAAAGAAATTATTCTGTTGCATTTGCAGATGACAAATGCTCTTCTGAGACACCAAATTCCCATTCAACAGTGCAGTTATTGCTGGCTTGAGGTTGCAGCAACACTTATGCTGACTCTTGAATGGAGTATCATAAGACCTCGCATACAGGTGTTTATGATAATGAATTTTTTACTATTGCATGTTGGAAAAAGACTTATCATAAACATGGGTGTTCAACAGACTTTCACCCAGTTTGAAATTCACAAAAGCAGGCAGTAAGGCCTAAACAAATTATGCATCCTTGGTTTTTCCCCCTCTGTTTGAAATTCAGGAGTTTGGTCCCCCTTATAGGTTGGGCTATCCATATTGGTCAACCTCACTATTTGAGATGACTGATATGGTAATAAAAAGTAGATTGCCCTTCACGTGTGCAAACGCCATACATAATGAAATGCTCTAAAGCATTTTTCTTATTTCTTGTATGTTTGTGTATTGTGCATTTTTGACTCAGTCTCTCAGTCATAGAATTGGGAGGCTAGACAAAAGCGACTTGCTTTTCAGAGGAGTGTGGTGCAGTTATTTGGCTTATACATCTCCTGACTCAATGAGCCCATGTACAGTAGTGACTAAACTTCTATAGCAAAGTGGCATTTCAATTTATAATGGCTTATCAAAAATTCAGAGGAAGTTCTTTTAGCAGGGATACCTGTACCTTCCACACCAAAGTGACTTAATCTCCTTCCACGTAGTCCATCTGTGTGTTTATGCTCTTTTTCCAGCAAGTGTATGGTTGATGATTGTTCACCTGCTGTCCATTCTTTGAAAGGATTCACAGAGCACTTGTTATATCACTTATGATTGCATCCTGATTGGCATTTTTGCATCCCTTCAGCCTGAAATTGTGCAGTGGGAAGAGGAAAATGTTTCAGGGTGCCTTGTACAGTGATGAGGAAGGGTTGTTGATAATGGCAGAGTGGCATGCCAAAGACTTACCAAGAAAAGTGGTTGCTACAGCATGACAACATGCCAATGCATGCACATCATGTCCAATTTTCTGGCATGCCAAAAAAGCCACTCAGTTGCATGTCATCAGCCATTGACCAGATTAAGTACTCCAGTGCTTTTTCCTGTGGCTTAAGTCCTTGTTGAAGGGATACAAATCTGCTGATTGGGATGCAATCATATGTGGTACAACAGGTGCTCTGTGGACCCTTGCAAATAATAGACTGCAGACAATCAGAGCAACAATTGAGCAGCTGCTAGGTGGAAAAACTAACACGGGGACTACCTGGACTACCTTGAAAAAGACCGTGTCATCTTTGAATGGAAGGTGCAAGTATCCTGGCAAAAAAAAAAAAAAAAACTCCCAGTGAACCTATTGATTTACCCTCATGATGCTTTAACGTATTTGTCTCTTCTGTATGTCAGTCCACTGTTACCTGTACAGTCAATTCAATTAAAGCTCAGTCAAATTAGTTAAATGATTAGGTGCTACAGAAAAATGCCAAGGTATCAGGTTGGCACATAAGTATTGTCGGAATTTTCACTTTCCGTTTTTTATTGGAAAAAAAGAACATCAATTAACATTATGTGTGCCATCATTATCTACAATGTATTCCCATCTAATGGGCAAATCCATAATACCATCTTCATAGAATTGGGGGATTTTCACTTGAAAAAAGTTTGCAGGTCCTTTTTCAGCTGGTCTTGATCATCAAAGCATTTTTCCTTTAGATGGTTCTGTAGCACCCAGAACAAGTAGTAATCTGAAGGTGCGAGGTCCAGTGAATACAGTGTATGAAGTAGGACTTCCCTGCAAAATTTCTCCAGCGTTTGATGAGTAGCTTTCGCTGTGTGTGGTTTGGCGTTTTTATGGAATAGGCGAACTTTGCCCTGTCCTGACGCTTATAGCACAGGGCGTGCCATAGCTTCTGCAGCTGAGCACAGTAGACATCAGTGTTGACAGTGGTATTGGGCGGGAGCAACTCTAAGATGATGACGCCCTGAAAATCCCCAAAGACATGGAGCAGCACCATCTTTGGGTGAAGGTTACCTTTTGGTTTTGGTTCCGGCTGCTCGCCATGGCTGACCCACTGTTGCTTGCGGGTGTGGTTGATATGGAGCACCCACTTCTCATCTCCTGTGATGATTTGGTGGAGAAAGCTCTGGCAGTCTCACTGTGACAGCATAAAGTTGCAGATGCTGACCCTCTGCTGGAGGTTGTCAGGTGTCAACTGGTGGGGTACCCATGTGCTGAGTTTGCTCACTTTGCCCAAGTTCTTGAGATGGTGTTCAATGGTCACGTGGGAGCACTTGAGCTGCTCTGCCAATTCGCATGTAGACTGTTGTGAGTTGTCCTCCACCAGTGCTTGCAACTTCTCAATGTCACACTCAACTGGGCACCCGAACCGCAGTTTATCTTCCAGGGACTTCTTGCCATTACAAAACCTCTCAAAGTGTTGTTGACATGTGCGTTCAGAAACCATGCCCTCGCCATATGTAACACATATATTACGAGTGGTGGATGCTACTTTGTTGCCAAAATCGAACTCATACAAAATACAGTGACGAATATGCATGAGAAACTCCAACATTTTCTTCCTTACACAATATGCAAGAGAGTTGAATTTTAATGCCAACTTAAAGCACAACTTCACAGCTCTATATATGGATGGCATCTGTGCTTTAGGCTTTAAGGGGCATTTTTTACATTTAAATTTAAAAATGCTGTCCGAACTTATGTACCAACCCAATAGATCCTAACCAGGCATCCACACTTCTATGGCATGGACACCTGGGGCATTAATGAGAATTTTGGTTTTCTATAGCATGCCTATTTTTTGCCCATTTTAATTTTCATTGTTTCACAATGAACCATGCTGGTCTTCCCAGTTCATATTAAGGTCTGAGTCTAAAAATAGTTCCTATATCCATTTTATTGCTTCCTCATATTGAAGCTTCAAAAAGGGAAAGAGATATCACCCCAATTCCAAGGAGCCATCTCACATATGTTCTTGGGTGAAGGCAGGAGTTGAGATCAATGTATGTTAGACAAGTAGGATTCCATCTGATTGCAGGTGAAGTCTCGGATCAGGACTCGAAGCAATTCATCCCCAAACCAGTATTTTGAGCATGTGGGTGGAGGTGGGAAAGGGAGTGAAGAGGAGAGGGGCTTCCAAGGCACAGGGACACTTTCCACTCTCCTCACTGCAGGCTCAACACCCAATCTCCAGCAGAACACCCCTCATCCTCATTCTCATCCTCTTCTCCTACAGTCAAATACTCTCTTTCATGTCCTCTCATCTTCTGCCACTACAGGTTAGTAACTGTTCTTGTTTTCCCTTTATTTAATCTAGCTTCATCTCTTCTGAATGGCATTTCTTGTCAAATGTGTATTAGTTGTATGCAATGTTTGATATGAAGGCTGACTTTTTTGTTAGTCCAGAGTTAAGTCATTAGTTCTGAATTGTCTCTCAACCTCTCTTCAGTTTTACTCAGTGAAATCCAACATCAGATGATATATTGGCTGAAATCTCTAGGATGGAACATGGCATTGACTTTATGTTTCACCCACACATTGTTGGAAAATTTGGTGAGATAGTCTCAAAGTTTCAAATGTGTGTCTCATACAACTCAGGAACAGCAAGGTGAAACATAAAGGAACATGCAAGAGTCCATTACAGCTTTCTCTGCTGTTGAATTACTGTGTGTGGTTGAATTTCTTATAAGGAGCTCAATACTGCTTCTTATCATTGTGGATAGTCAACCATAAGCATGCTGAAATGATGGTGAATTGTGTTCGAGTAATGCTTTATAAAAGTAATGGAATCCTATCTTGTCATAAGAGGCTGGCATCAGCTCAGCATTAGCCTTCTCTGATGCATCTATTGGCAGTGCATGTGAAACTTCCTTGATCTTTCCCATTCTGGCAGCCAAGCCTGGCTATGTCACATCAAAGCAGTCTTTGACATGATGTTCAAGGAAAGAGATCCCCCTACTTGCTCATGTGCATAAAACTCATTTCCTCACTCCTTAGAATGGTTAATAGATGAGAAAAGGTTGCTGATGCCATTTTTTTCTCTAAAACTTTCAGAGTGAAAAATCTTTTTGTTCATTTTTTTATTTTTTATTTTTACCCATATGCTGACGTTTTTAAATTTATTATTATTATAGGGAAACATTCTCTGCTCAATCTGTTTTGCATTGGTGCTAAAGACTTTTCAGAGAAATGCCTTTCCAAAGAATTTCTGGTGATTTTTTTCACAGCTATGTATGCCTGTAGAAAATCATCTATCAGAAGCAAGTCAGACAAGAGTTAATAAGCAATTTGTAAGATTTAATATTTTTTACATGAGAAATCAATGTTGCTGGTAAAATAAGTCTTCTTGTTCAAAATTTTCAATATTTTAATTCTACAATTTGCAGTGATTATATGCATCTGCCCTGTTCTGGTCATAGAATATATGCAATTTTTAAAGAATGTATTAGAATATATGGAATTAGACATAAAAAATGACTGGGTGAGCTGCTGCTTCTGTATACAATTAAGAATAGTTATACATAGGTTTAGGGCGCTTATTGCATTATCATGATATTCATCAATATTGTTCCTTTTAGTGATATATCTGTATATTGTGATTTTGTTTTTCATCCTCACATTACTCCTTCCTGATTACTCTTGTATGCATACTTGGCTGACTAAGGCTGATTGCAGAAGGAAAAGCTGCAAAATTCAAGAAGGTGAAAGGAGATATAAACATGAAAATATTCTTCACCCTTGCCTATTCCCCCAAATTACAAAGCCTACATAAGACAGGCTTGATGAAAGGAAAACAAAGTGCAGAAGGGTTTGTTCCAGATTAATGCTCCACAGCTATGAAGCATGAGAAGATGGCATGAGGTACTACCCCCAGAATCAAATGTAGTATAACTGAAAGGGGAGAAATGAGACATGTATCATTGGCAACACCCTGTGATTCCCCCCAGTCCATTCAATATGAAGTGCCCTAGGTGATGACCTAGTTGCAAGCAAAAAACACCGATGTTCCTTTTGCTCTGTATGAACTCCATTATAAAGCAAAGTGTAATTCTGATTCTGTGGTTGAGGAGCTCTAACTCATGGAAGAGGCTGGTAAACCTTAACTAGATATATTTAGCCCCAGCCCTCACTCATCACCAAATCTTTCCCAAGAACAAATCTTCTCCAAAAGCTTATAAGTAGTACTCTGTTATAGTGCTACCCTCACAAGTCATTATCCACCAACACCATTATTTTTACCTAAGTGCTTTTATCCATGTAAATCCACCTTTTAGAGGCAAATATCATGCCAGCTGCAGCCCCTTTTTGGTACTTAACACAGAAAAATTGTTGCTGCTACCACAGGTGAATCCTACTTGTAGAATGAATAGTACCTATGACAAGTGTAGAGTATTGGAGGGGGCTGAGGATAGCAATACAAGCTTCACATCCATTGAGCCAATTTATTCTTGGAAGATTTTGCTAATGTAGCCATTGGCATGCTGTGGTTTGTTCCATAAAGCACTGCCCACATTATAGCACCAAAGTCAGCAACGATCAACATTGCTGCTATATTAACCCCTTGAACACACATGATGCACCTGTATGTGTCATGGAGGAACCATCCAACTGATTGATACACATTACTCTCACTGGTTGTGTACTGTGAATGCTCATGGGTGGGAAAAACATCATGAGAGGAAGTAAAGCCAGAGGTAATAGCATTAAATAGAGAACTTTAGGAGAAACAAAATATGTTATTCATACAAAATTCTGTTGTATGAAGACAGGAAATTGTCTAATATCTGGTGTATTCAAGGGGTTAAGTGTTGACTGCAAATATAATCTGCCATTGATAGTAACTATGCATGAGGCTATGCAGTATTTTGGTAAAACTGAAATACTATGGTATTTTCAAGTCTTGGTTCTGGAACCAAAGTACAGTATTTGCATGCTGTGGTATCAAAGGGACTGAAGGTATCAACACATTAGCTGCTATACAACCTACTGTCCCAGAAGGCACAAAAGAAAAGGAGCCTAGCAGCCAACATGTTAAATATTTTTCTGAAGTTCTGATGTGTCTTGGTTGCTACCCCTCCCCCACCCTGAGCTATCACCCCCTGTTGGCCTTGGCCTGACTTAGCTCTCTCTCTATCCCACCCACTTGCTACCAATGACTTTCTTGGTAAAGGGGAGAAGTTGGTTTCATTGGATCTTTGGTACCAAAGTTCAACATTGTACCACAAAGCTACTCCCATATATGGTATCATTGTTTCATGAAGTCAAGTACTGGGGTTCTCTAATAAATGCTAAAATCGTTGAAATCTTTAATTGAACAGACTTTTTGGTTGGCAACTCTTGCTTGTATGCCTTCCAATTAGTCACTTGAGATATCATAGTGAGGATTGCATTATTCCTGCTCTAGTAGGGTGGAAATCCAACTGCAGGTTTGGATCTAAATGGATGTTAGGCTTGAATTTGAGAGTTTAGCTTTAGATTGCATGCTCATAAACTTGCTGAAATCAGGACTGTTGAGAATGAACCAACTCTATATTAGCAACCTTTCTTTCTCTAACCCCTTGAGCATAACATAGGAAACTGGTGCACAGACTTATATTTAGAGAATTTTACTTAAATAACAATTTTTTCAGTTTTAAACTTCACAGCTCAGCAAAAAACCTAACTCATGGTGACATTGAGTCACCATCTACTGATGGTAGCAATAACATCAGAGAAAGATGATTGTATAAGAAATGCGTAGATGACTAAAGTTGTCTTAAGTATTTCTGAATGTGAATTAACAAGGAAACGAGAAATGCTTAGGGACTGCAATAAAATTTCATGAAAAGTGGAACAGATTATGTGCTGATAAAGAGTAAGACAATTTCCGAAAGAGTGAAGTCTTACAAAGAGGAATGCCATTAATGTAGCCATATTTGGTTGTGATTGAGAACTAAATCTGTGTTGGCATTTTTGATGCATTGACCTTAGGCACATCCAGCATACTGATGCTGCTGATATCTGAAGATGTCCTACATTTCCTGTTCTGTGATGTACCTGGTGCAATAAAATTTTGATTCATGTTTTAACAGTTGAAGTGTATATTTTGTTGGCAAATATGGAGAGTTGATAAAGGAGTGTTTGATCTTAGGCATTCCAGGTGGATATGAGGGAGAAGGGGGGGGGCAGAAGGGGGAGACAGTGAGGATGTACCAGCCAATTGCTCCCAGCCCCATTCCTGCTCCTGTTCCGTCCACCACCACCACCGTTCTCCTCACTCCAGTTCCAAATCAGTCTCAGAATGGCAGGGGTCTGGTCTTGTCCCATGTCGCCACACTGGCTCCTAGCCTCATTCACAAGGTCAATACACCTATTGCATATCTCTTTTCAGACCTCAGGCCATGTGACTTACTTCAAATAGTCATCCAGAAACGACAGACAATATTTTATCAAAAATTGCATTAAATATCATGTACTCTAATGATGCAACATACTAAAGGTGTTTTCTTGCGTAGAACATGGAACCTTTTGTTTCTCTATGCTTGACTTCATTTTCTGGCCTCAAAATATTGTGGTTGTGTACTTAGTTGGTACAGCTTTTTCGTTAAGTATGTTATTGCACAGCCAAGCATTGTTTTACAAGACCAATGTGGATTCAAAGGAAAGTACTTGTGATTCTTGTTCCCCTCTTTGCTAGTGTGAGTGATAAAAGAGAGGCACTAGGTTTTCCTTTGTCATGATTTATACTTATTCATAATTGATAGTTGTTGATGACTTCAGGAGAAGTAACTATTGAGGTCTTAATGCAACCAGCACCATATCATGTTATCAGTCTGTCCCATGGCTTGGACTTGGGCATATGCATTACCTTACTTATCTTTTATGAGTTGAAGCACAAGGCTCTACAATGAGCCTAGGATTTGAGTGAGAAAAAGAAAGATGGCCTTGGACTAGTTTTCTTCTCTCTCCCTCACTTCTGCTCTGCCTGAGCACCTACAGGCCACTGGCAAGTCTATTCAGGGATTGTGGATGCTGCTATGTTAATGAAATTGAGGAGTAAGCCAACAGACTTAAAAGTGACTCATCCAGAACAGTCATTGAATGATGGAACTGAATAGAGAAATGCCTTTGTCACTAAATGTTTGATCACTAAATTATGCTTCTTTTAAGCTTGGTTTTGTCTGAGAAAAGGAATGTACTAGTGGCTCCCAATTTATGAATAATGAATGTGAAATATATTGGCAGAAGTTTCCAATGGGAAATTTTTTGGAGCAGCAAACATAAACTTGATGATATAATCTTACTTTTCATAATTATGTGTGGAGCAGGTGATGCCATCAAGGCAGAATGGGGAAGGATTTTCATCATCATCATCATCTACGTCTTCAATGGGATCCATGGGAGGCACAGGGAAATTGGGATCCCCAAAGGGATTTCCACAAGTGTCTTCTCCACCTTTGACAAAGATTGATCAGGGTAATCCAACCAACACCTCTCCAACCCATCCTGGTCAACCACGAGTAAGTCTCTCTGTTGCAGTTATACTGCCCATAAATGACTTTCAGGCTTTAAAAATAACCAATTGAAGAACTTCTTGAATGCCAGGGGAAGCCTGCTATGTCAAATGACTAAAGAATACACTTACTGACTACAAAAAAGAAATAAAAAAAAAGAAATTCCAAATGGAATGTCTAATAATGACAATATTTTGTACAGATCTATCCACAATGTACTCTCTCATTGAATTTACTAAGATATCATAATATGAGTGGGACTTGTTCCCTTGCTCCTAGATTTACTAAACTTACACACCCATATTTAGTCTAATCAAATGCATTCTCCTCCATGGACACACCCTTTGAGTTGGGGATCACACTCATGAAGGAGGGTATGATTCTTTACAGTTGGATGATTTTTCTGGTCATTTTGCATCATTCTCAGGGCTTGTGTTTACACACAGATGTGCATCTTATACACACAAAATTCTGAAGGGACGTACAACAGAAAAACATTAAGGTCCCAGGGACGTGCGGGAAAGTTCTAGATTTTCTGACTGGTTTTCAGACCAGTTGGCAGTTGCCTCTTAGAACTGTGCCTAAATAAACCTGTGCACAACCTTATTACTGACAGGAAGGGGGGAGGGCAGGGGTCCTTGCCAAGGAAGGTGCATGACGTGAAAGTGATGAGAGCGGCGCATGATGCATTGTGTTCACGCATTCATGACGTATTTCCATTCATTTCAATTTAGACTTCAGGGTGGTTTGGGCCAACACTCTTCTCGTTCAGTTACAAGTGGAAAATGTACAATGTTAGTTTATTTGAATCACACATTGGCATATGTTCAGATGTTCCTGAACATGGGCCTAGTGGCACATGAAGAAAGGTATCAACAGTGCAGGTATAAATTCTAAACGAAGGTGATGTCATCGTTCCACTTAGGGTGCACAGAGAAGGGAAGATTGCCATAGGCTTTGACCTAGTCAAACTGAAGGGAAAGAGATGGACATGGGCGATTATGAAAATGGGCAGCTTGTGAACCATGAATCACAACGAAGGAAAAAATATTTTTTAAATGGAAAAAGGTGTGGGTCAAAATGTATTCCTGGCTTTCCTATAGAGATGAAAGAGCATCCTGTGATTTCTGCTCAAATGCAAATAAGAAAAATCCCTACTCAGCATCTGGCAGTCGTAAAATAAGCAGAAGTTTGTAATTTGAAAATTTGAAGTGCCCTAGGGATATTTGTTAGAAAATGTTGGAAGTAGTCCTAAAGGTGCTGGATTGAATATCATGCTTTTGGTCATGTTAAATCAAGGAAAAAACATTGACTGTGGGATTTGAAACTTTTTGTGCAACTTTGCAAGATTTCATCATGCTTCAATTGTGATGGGACCCCCAAATTTTTCTGAGTGACCCTTTCTTATAAGACTTGAGAGTCCCAAGGACCCTTAAGGCAAGAAAATTAGTGCAAGCCCTGGTTCTTCTTCTTTCATATGGCCTTGGTGGATAGCAACAAATCACAGAATAATATCAAGTTTTGATATCCATTCAACTGCCTCAGTGGTAGCCTCGTGGATGCTTTTTAAATCGCCCTTGAAGGTCTAATTGGGCATTCAAGTACTATGTGCTGTACTGTCTGACTTGGTGCTCTGCAGTCGCATTATGCGGTCGCAAAATCTCTGATTTGCCATTTGTGGAAAATGTGTCAGCATCTTCCTTGGAGCATTCGGATTTGGTTTAAGGAGGACCATATCTTCCTTGGCAGTGTGAATCTGGGTTGAAGAGTTGTGGGATCTTTGATGATGGACTTCAGCAGCATGTTGGCATTTGCCCAGTCCTCCTTCCATTGTTCTTCTGTGGTCTTGCCACGGTTGTGGAGAGTCTTGGCATGGATCCAGAACGACTTTCTGGACTTAAGCCTGTTTGGAGGTGGGCACGTGATATTGTGGTTGATTGGAAGGCCTGGATTCTCTAGGGCCTTTCAATATTTGTGCACGCTTGCCATACGTGGGCTGGTCAAAGAGTTCCTGGAAAAAGTGACTTCATTTTGTCAGATCCCCATGATCTTTTCACTGTGTATTCTTATGTATCTTAGTAGCTCTTCCCTTTAATTTCAGATCCCTGCAATAAAATGGAGACTCGCAAGCACGCGCGAAGTGAAACGAGTCAGAGGGTCTTGCCACCCTTGACGAGCCGTGACAAACGCTGGGCAATTTTGGTGCAGTTTCAGCTGGGAAATTCGGCGGCACAGTGTTTCGAAACCCTTCAAAAGGCACTTGCGGACCAAGCTCCATCCCAGAGCACTGTCTATGAGTGGTTTGTGCGCTTTCGATCTGGCTCCTTCAGCCTCGACGACGATCCCCGTGAAGGTGGTCCAAATTTCACTCACTCCAGAGAACATTGTCTAGGAGTCGCTTCATGCTGGCAAAGACCAGCGGATCACCACCAGGGAACTAGAGAAGCTCGTTGGGGTGTCGTATGGCTTGGTCATCAAGATCCAGCACGAACACCTTGGGATGAGGAAGGTCTGTGCTCGTTGGGTTCCGCACCAGCTGAAACCGGATCACATGAAAGCTTGTGTGGACTTCTGTGAATTCATGCTTCAGAAATTCGACAGTGGAGCCTCTGAAGCTGTGAGAAACATCCTCACAGGTGATGAAACTTGGATCTACTTCTACTTCCCATTGCGTCCTCTGGTTCTTCGTCTCTGGGCCGAAACTGCACCAAAATTGCCCAGCATTTGTCAAGACCCTCTGCAAAGCAAGACCCTCTGACTCGTTTCACTTCGCATGCACTTGTGAGTCTCCATTTTATCGCAAGGATCTGAAATTAAAGGGAAGAGCTACTAAGATACATAAGAATACACAGTGAAAAAATCATGGGGATCTGACAAAATGAAGTCACTTTTTCTGGGAACTCTTTGACCAGCCCACGTATTTCTGTGGATTTGTGGAGGTGCTATGTTGGATAGAACTGGAAACCATGGCGGAGGTATACTCCGCAATGTGCCTGTGATTGTCCTCATCGCAGTGTTCAACTGGGTGTCCACCAGTTTCGCATGCAAGCTTCTGGTCCAAACTGGCACACAGTATTTTGCAGTGGAGAAGACCAGTGCCATCGAAGCTGTGCAGAGAGCAGTGGCATTTGCTCCCCAAGTTGCTCCCGCAAGCTTGTGCACGAGGCTAACTCATGTTTTTGTCTTTGCCACGACGTTCTGGAGATGTTCTTGGAACATGAGGCTTCTGTCGAGAGTTATCCCTAGATATTTGGGGATCTTCTTGTGCTGTACTTGTTTGCTGCAGAAGGTGACGGCGAGCTTCTGGTCAGCTTGGCCATTGTTCAGATGGAACGATGTCACCACCATTTTCTTTAAGTTTGGGCGGAGCCACCAGTACTTGAAATACTGTTTGAGCTCCTTTAGGTCTCTCGTTAGGTTGTTTTGGACCTTTTCTTTGGTGGGAGCCTAAGTGGCCAGCACAAGATCGTCAGTGTAGCCAAATTTCCTGCTGGTGGTGGCAGGTAAGTCTATACATATATTAAATAGTGCTGGGGCCAGCACTTATCCCTACAGCAGACCGTTATTTAGTAGACAAGGTCTACTCGCCATGCCTCCAAGGTGCATGTGGAAACATCTGTTGGCCAGCAAGGAGAAAAGGAGTTGCAGCATCTGGCGATATCTGATGACCTTTGACACTTTCAGCAGCAACCTGGTCACAAGTTCTGCATCCAGGCCGAAACCCAACTTGTTCAACTGGGATATGCTCCTCGAAGATGGGTGACATACGAGTTAGAAGCATCCTTTCAAGAAGTTTGTATGTTGTGCTGAGGAGGGAGATGGGCCTGAAGGTCTTTGGATCATCAGTAGGCTTCTCGGGTTTTGGAACGGTGATAACTTTCGCTAGTTGCCATTTCTGTGGTATTTTTCCTGAGACAAGGGTGACCAAGAAAAGTTGGCAAGCCACCGGTATCTGTTTACACCAAGGTTTTTCGGAAATTCGGGATAGATCCCGTCTATTCCTGCGGCCTTGCCTGGTCATGTGACTTTTAATGCCTTGGTGACCTATTCTGCATTTTGCATTGAATACATGTGCTTGGTCCTATCCATATCCAGAAAATCATTTTGATGATTTTCTCACTTAGAGTGACAATGATATTCATTGTCACTTCAGAAAATTGTTAGTCAGCATCTTAATTAGCTACAGAGCTCACCAAAATACTGGGGTGCAATATGGCTTCCAATCATCCACAGATCAAGCCAGAGGTGGACAAGCAAGATCTTAAAAGAGAAGTTGAGTGGAACCACGAAGATGATTAGTACTGTCATACCCATCAAAGATAATTGAGGGGAAAAAAAACACTTCTTTTTCCCTTTTTCCTGAAACTTCGTTGTGCTGACAAGGATCATGTTGGGCAGAATGCCCAGGAAGAAAGAGCATTTATTTCACCATCACTTTCAAAAGATTGAGGAAGTGGTATAGACTATCCTAAAATACACCAGAATATTTAGTCAAATTCCTGGGTCTTGTGTTGGCATTCATTTTCCCTTAAGTTTGCATCGTCAACAATGACATTGGTGAATATATTTTTTGGAGGATTACCAAAAGTATAACTATTAACCTTCTGTTGATGCAGGATCACAGGAGAGTCTGTCACATAAATGCTGAGCAGAAGCGACGCTGCAACATCAAGAATGGCTTTGACATGCTTCATAACCTCATCCCCAACTTGCAGCACAGCTCTAATGCCAAAGTAAGTTTAAGTCATTAGTAGGATATGTTTTGTAATATCATGTCATTGAGACATTCTGAACAGGTGACTAGCATACTCATTGATCCTCTTGTTTGAGGCTAGCACTGAGATAAGTCACACAGCCATATGAATTCCCTACATTCAGTTTCTAATAAACTGCCCTCCAAAAGTCTTGCTGCACTTTTTTGTCATCAAAATTCTCAGCACAAATTGCATCATCTGTGAACATTTTTATATCCTCAGAGAGCCCAATCTGTTACTTTTGCAAAGCACCCACTCATGTCATGATTTGTGTTTTTGTTTTTCCAAAATTCACCTTTGAATCTGTCTGGTTCAGTTTTTCAGCAAGGAATAATTAAAATCTGCCCCAACTGATTGTTGGAAAGCCTACTTCTCCTCTTGCATGCCATGCATGAAGCATGATTTAGCACCTTAAGGAAAAAGCTCCTGTCAGTGTCCAATTTTTTTTTCATTATACAAAATTTTGTTACCTATCTTTGGATAACTTATTCTCTCATCTGTGCAAAGTGACTATTACCATCAGGATTTGAGCAACCATACCCCCAAAACTTTAATGGAAACAATCTGGTTTTGAATTTTCATCTGGAACAATGACAGAAATATCACCCTGTTCCCATTTTTATTCCTGACATGCCTGAGGAGTAAATATGGTGTCTTAGTCTGAACACTGGAGAATTGTTTCCCTTCATTTCAAAGCTGCCTGGTCATAGGCCATTTCTTGCCATCTTGGCATCAATTTCTCAGTTGTGAGTAGGACTATTAATCATTATTTGCAAACCAAGTAGAAACCAAGAGTAGATACTGAGATTTTGTATCATGAAAAAACTGGCAAGAGTTTTTGGACACTGACAGAAGTCTTTGTCACATGTTGTCACCACATGAAAATCTTAGTGGTCATGAGTTCTTGATGACCCTGTACATGATGCCATAGTTATGCAAAATCTATTTTTTTAATTTAAAAAATAATACGGAATGAGTACATATTTCAGTTTATGCAGAGTTGTTTGCTAACAGTTGAAGCTGAATTGAGCATGACTGAGCCTGGTTTCATTCCACTTAAATGATGTGCACAAAAACATAAAAAACCCAAAAATTTGAGGAAATTCTACACTGTAAGGCAAATCTGATGACTCGTTCCAGTATGCAGATTTTCATTAACACGTTGACGACCAGCCTATTTTTGCTTGTCCGCCGCGTGGGACCACGTGCATTTTTTTTTGTCAAAAAATGCATCCTGCCATCAGGACGCATGGTCCCAGAAAACATTTTTTTTGCCGAGTTTTTTTAAAATGTTGAATTTTTTGGAATTTTTATCAGTAATTACGAAATCATAATCTTCTGGAACGTTCTCAACAGTTCCATTCATTGAAAAAAAATCTGCATCCTGGCATCAGGACGCATTGTCGCCAACGTGTTAATGTAACTCACAGAATCTACATGTGTGTTGTGCATACAGAGTTAAATTCACCTCTTGGCTTTAACTTGGCTCCAGTTTAATTATCAGGTAATTTTTTGTGGGTTTCCATTGCCATGAGAAAATTTCCTATTTTTCATTCATGCAATTTTCTGAAAATGTGTTTGCATTCTTGAGAAGTGGAGAGAGCAGAGAATGTTTTCCAATAAAATTTAGGCATATTTCTCATAAAACAAGTAGTATAGAGACAGTTTTCAGGTCAATGTTTGAAGGAAGAAACAGCAGCAAGTCAGTTTTCTTGTCTGTTGCTGGGTTCTAAAGGGGGAGGGGTTGGGCTTTTGTGCATGTGTGTGCAGGAGGATCGTTGTCTCTTAATGTTCTGTCGAAGAGAAGGTGATTAGGAGTCAGGCTGGACTGAATGAATGGGAAAGATTGATTTTAAAAATCTCATTAGTGCCCTCAATAATGACCTTCCCAGGTCCCACTTCAAGTGACTCCATTTAAATTGAGACATTTGATCAAGCTGTTCAGGAGAAATTAATCGCAACATCTCATAAAGCTATTCTGCATTAAGATTTTTAAATTCTAGAATCTAGCAATTCTTATTTCATTCATTCCTTCTGTGTTAATCATTTCTAGGTTTGGTCACTCATTCACACCACTACACATTCCCATGCCATCTATGTTGAGCCAACCATGTTTTGCATTGCAGATTTCATCTAAAATTTTGGAAAACCATCTACATTTATTGGATGTCAAACTATGTGACCCAAAAGTTCCTGACTTTACTATACACAACTTGGATGAAACTCTATGCAAGGCATCTTTAGGAAATTTTCATGGTGTCAAATGTATAGTTCATTTCACAAAATTAATAAGTTAATTTGGTTGTTTAGAAGCCAATGAACAGCTTTTTTTGCATGATGACAAAAGAGCAAGTGTCTGACTCCATCTGGCTACAAACCAGACAGACACTCATTCTGGCACTCAACTGACATCTCTTGACCTTATGCCCTAATTGGATTTTTGAACATGAACATTTTTATTTTACTGGTATATGTCTATCTTATGGCATACCATGATGTCACTGGGTGTGATAGGCCACTTTATTTACCCCTGCAAAATTTAGTTTTTGTAAAAATATGGAAAATGGAATGTTAGAGGAAGTTTTGGTTCCATATGAACAATAAATCTTTGGATACTAAGGAATGCAGAAGCAAAATTTCATTGCTCAATATTCTGCTGTTTGGCCTGCCAGAGCACTAACAGGCACACAGACAGACTTGTGATGAAGTGCAATTGTCTGCAATCAATGCTTTTCTTGCATGCACTATATCTAAAACCTTTCTTTGGCTAAACCTTCAGCTTACCTCACTCCAGTTTGAAAAACTACATGTTAACAAATTCCTGAAGCTAATGATTACCTTGATTAATTCTGTCTTTTTTGTGTTGAGGCCCTAGCAGTATTCTACAAAATGGCTCAAGGGAATGCTTTGACTTAATTATAGAGTGAATTTTCATTTTGACATGGTCATATGACTAAACTGAACTTAGTATTTGCTCAAAAGTTCAGATTGCATGATTTCTTTCAAAAGATCTTTTGTCAAGTTCAACAATTCTTCATACTTGGAATGGTGATGAGAAATTGAAGAAGCAATTTCTCTTGTACACTTTCAAATCACTTTGATTTGCCTGTATAGGGTTTCATGTAATACTTGCAGTCTCCTATAGAGTTGAAATTGTTACAATGTTTCTAGCATAATTTTCCTTGCATATAATCCTACTTTTGCAATATTTCTAATTATGGGCAATCTACAACAGCTGGTGTTATGATGATAATGAGACCCTTCAAATGAGATATTGTGCCATCTTTGCATGGTGCAAATTTTATAGCAAAAAAGGGAGGTTGTGGATAAGCTATGAAGAAATGAGTTGTATAGAAATATGAGAAATAAAAGTGTCACCTGCAAGATTTGCTCAAACTAAAGTGGAGGTTCTGAATAACATTGATCAGTCTTTGCAGGCATTATGTGGTTTCCTACACATAGGCTCACATGAATGGCTCAGAAATTGTCATTCCTTTTTTAAATGCCCTCGTATTTGGGCTTGGGGTTGAAACTTGGACAGTGTTGACGATTTTGAGTACCTACTTTAGTTGACAAAATCCCCAAATTGGGTTTGGTTTTTCGTCATGTTTTCCTTGTACTGTTTTTCTTGTGTGGGTACAAGCAGAATTTCCAGATTGAAAAATTAATTCCCTTCCTCCACATAATGCTGTGGATATGGACAATACAATAGTCCTCCATAACAGGCTCCCTGCATGATGGCATTGGCCATTTGTATTCCTCTGTGGCATAATGAGGATTTTTGAGGGAATGGAAAGTTTCAATCTCTAATTCATTAAGAAGTGGGCAAAAATTGACTCTTCTTGAAGACCTTTAGAGAATTCAACATGGTCATTATTATTTGTTTTCTCCATCGCCATGATCTGACAAACTGACAAACTCTAGACTATTCAGAACCCACTGAGGGATTACCAAGCTCTGAAAGTTATTTAAAAAACTATAGAGTGCCTTAATGAAGTGCTATATTTCATTTTAGTGTGTTGTGATTCATTTCTATAATGAAGGTGTTTAGCAAATTTTGTGAGGTTCCTTGTACATAGGGTATGAGTTGCTGAAATTTTGCAGGTTTCCAAGGCAGCCATGTTGCAAAAGGCAGGAGAGTACATTCGGCAGCAGAAGAGTGAGAGATCAGAGCTCCAGCTAGAGGCTGAGAAACTACGACAGCAAATTGAACTCCTCTCACAAGAAATCAAGTCTGTACCATTTATCTATTTTTACTTATGAAAAGGAAAGGATGTGGCCTTGTTGGCTATGTTTTATCAGGATTATATTCATTTTAAAAGAAAAGGCCACTCTCAAATTTTGAGTGTGTTATGCTTACATCACAATGTACAGGGTGTAACATAAATTTTAAAGCGATCCTTATCTATCAATACTCCTCAAATACTCACAGAAACAAAATGAAATTTATTATCCTGTTACACAACAGTAATAACTCCAACTTATTATAACTAGATCTCAAATCTACCACCACGTTGAGAAACACAAGCTTGGAGTCTGTCCAGCCATTAATATTTACAGTTTCAAATAGTATCTTTGGGTATTTTGGCCCACTCCTTGCATAGAGAATCTTGTAGATTCTTCAAACCGCTATAATTTTTGGCATTAACCTATGCCTCAAGAACGGACCAGATGCAATAGTCCATGGGATCAAGGTCAGGCGAACTCGGCGGCCTTGGAAATGAAATAAAATGCTTGGTTGTGCAACCACTGCTGTGAGATGTTCGTGTTGTGTGAAGTCGCTCCATCCTGTTGGAAAGTCCACCTACCACATGGAAATAATCATCTGGACTCTGGTAACAAGACAACTTTCAAAATCCTATAGGATAGTACTGGGGATTGATTTTCACCCCTGGATTCAGGAAATGCAGCAAAGTGCACCCTGAGCTGCACACCCCTGTGAATAGCATCACACTCTGAAGATTCTGCTGGCAGGACCAAAATTGCTCAGAAATTTCATCATACATGACTCACCAAATCCTAACATTTTAAGCATTTAGGACCTGTTCCATGGTAAAAATTTTCTCATCCGTAAACAGGGCCTTTTTTTTACTGACACAGGAGTGAAATGAGTCAGCAGTGCTCGGGAACGATCAAGCCTTTTTTTCTGCTGAAGAGCAGTCAGAGCATGGCATTTACGATGCTTGAAGGACTTCAAGTTAAGATCATTTTTCAATACTCACTTAGTTGTCATATGCAAAACACTGCATTGGCGAGAAATTTTCCTGGCCAACCTGCTCGGATTTCTTGCGATCAGCTTCTTCACGTTCCTTTTAAGGCGCTCCGTCCTAGCTGAATGTGGTCAACCGGATCTCTTGCAGTCTTTCACACCACCAGTGGCTTGAAACTTTTGATGGTGTATTCAACAAAAGACTTCCTGTATTTGTCCCAATTCAGTGCATACAAAATTGCAGTTCATCGATTTCCTGCTTCAAACAATGCGACCACAGCAGCTCTTTCACTTTTGTGTGTCATTATTCTGCAATTAATGCACACAGACTGTTTTTATGTAAGCGTTACATAGTGCACACATGTGCCAACTCACTGTATAATACCATTAAATTCCGCAGAATCACTAACGCCGCATAGTGAATGCATTATTTTGCTTTAAAACTTATTTTACACCCTGTAGTACATATAGGGTGTTGAAAAATAACTGCTCTATACTCTTTCTGTGTGGAAAAAAATCATTCTTTTCCTAGGGGGTATTGTCTTGTGGGCTCTGCTTGTAGAATTTTATCATTCTTGGAAGATTCATTTTTGAATCATTTACCCCTTCCCTTCATACCTTACAAAAATCACCTCCAGTGGGATTGAAAGTCTCATTGGTCTTAACACATCTGAGCCTCACCTCTATCTAATGCACATATTTTTTCCTCTGCAGCATACTCATAGATATATGAGGAGCACTCAATAAGTCTTTGTACTTTGCATGATTTCCATTTCCTTTTTTATGGCAGGTAAACAGTGCCTTAGGATGTGTGCATATGAAGTTGCAGGAGTCTGGTGGTTAAGAGTTTGTTGTCAGTTTAATTTTATGTGCAGTGACCTTGAATCTTTTAACCTTGAGCAATGTCATCTGTAGAGCCCTCAAAGTATGACAAATGGATCATGATTTGGTATTTTCACTTTAAGATGATCTTGCAAGATGATATTTATAGTTCCTAACAAGATCCTCAGAGTATGCTGAATTTGCCTACAGGTGACATGTGGGTCTTCCTTCAAGAGGGCTCAAGCAACTTCAATGTTTTTTTCATTGGTTACCATATGGGATCGACCAAATATAGGGTCATCAAAAAAATATCCTCTCCCAAAGCAATATTTGTTGAACCAATTCTGATGGTCTGCAAAGAAGGTGAAGCTTTCCCTATAGCCTCTGATATCTCAGAATGGCACTTGCTTGAAGAAAGACTTTGTTTCTTGCAATACCAAATGTTTGTCATAACTTGAGGGCTCTATAGATGACATTGTTCAAGGTCAAAATCATCAAGGTTACTGTATGTACAAGTAAATTGATTGCTAACTATTCACACCAGACTCTTGCAACCTGGCTTACAAACATTTGCCTGGTGGAAAAAAATAATTGGAAATTGATGAGGAAATCATGTAAAGTGCAAAGACTTGTTGAGTGCAGTGCCCCTTGTACCTGGTACCTCTTACCGAAAAAGAGGGTTGTTGTGATTTAGTGGTGTTATGTCATCCCTACTTCTTTGCTTCAGCATGCACCCACATTTTTCTGAGTGTTCTGCAGGAAATTCAGCAAAATCAAGAGGATCACCTTGACATTGTTAAAATTATCATGAAATTATAAAATTTTAATTCTCCCAGATATAACAAAATCTGACTTCATGAGATTCCAAATGAATTCAAATCACTCTTACTTTGCAATGATTTCAGAATTTTAACATTTTCCAAGCATTTAAAATCCAAATTACTAACCAGGATAGTCTTAGAGAAACTGAAGTGAACTCAAATTGAATCGGTATTTATTTTGAACTGAATAGAATGGAATCTTTCACATTAAAATGAAATTATTTTATTTAGAATCTTAGAATTCCTTTACAGTTACCATTGAGTCATGTGGTCTCAAATTTGTGCTTCTGGAAGAACAGTATGCAAAGCAGGTAGAAAACAAGAGGATGAGATCCTGACACATACTAGTACAGATGGAATAGGGGTCATTCCATGTGAAATCAACAGTCATTCCCCTCCAGAATGATCATTAATACATTAACCCTTTCACTGATGGCACAACATCATCCAATCGAGTATGCTTAATTGTAGCTCTGAAAGGGTTAAATGTATGAAAAATATGTCAGTCAAAATCCAGTCAATACAGGGTAGGGTGTCCATAAATTATCCAATCAATTTGTTGACTTCACTGTTTCAAAACTACAAATGTGAGAACATCCAAACTCAGCACACTTTTTGGAAATATGATCAAGTTCGTCCATGCAATGTTTCAGGAAATTTTAATTTGGCTTCCACCAATCACATGGCAAATTGGTCCTTTTTTTCACTCCAAACTCAGGAGAGGATGTCTGGTGTGACCATTGCAATTGCTCCTCAAGTATTTTGGAAGGGTAGGACATACATGTGGCCTTTCACCCACCCCCACAGGGAAAAATTTATTGTGCCACTCATAGATGGAGGTCCTTGAGGGAGGATCTTTGGCAAACTCAGTTTTGAACTTCCTCTGCACTACTGTTGCACTTCTTTATTCATTAAACCACAAAACACAAAGAGATTTTTGTTGGGCAGTAACCATTTTTATCCATTAAAAGTGCCAAATTTGAATATTCTTGCTTTTTTGGTTTGAAAATGGGGATGTCACGAAACTGTTCAGATGAGTTATGGACAGTATATTACAGCTGCAGTGTGCAGAAAAAGTAAGCTCTGGCAGTGTTGCTGCTCACAGAAAAGCTCAGCAATGAAAGGGTTTAACATATTTAAGTAACAGATATTCTCTATATACAAAAATCATCACATGTGAGGGATGGACTTCTGCATATATGATTATGTACCTGGTTGAAGTATATGATTTTTAAGCATAAGTATTTGAGCTACCTAACCTAACAATACCTAACAAATGTCTACATTTTGTCAAAGATAGGCTTATCTTGCAGCACTTGAAGATCCATGCAATCAATGGTAGCAAGTGTACTACCAAAACTTCCAGAGGCATAAGTGTCTGACAATGTCTCAGCCATCAATTAAAACATTACTAATATTATTACCAACTAATATTATTGCCAAATTGACTTTAAAATCACCTTGTACATGATACACTTAAAAAAATGCATGTTTATCAGTATGTGCATTCAACTTTTATAATTATTTCTAGAATATTGATAATAGTTTTGACTGCCTCAATGGAGAGGATTTTCCACAAATTTATGCGTGAACCAGATACATCCAGACTTTTATAGCACATTTTCTGCAGATTTTTTATCGTCTACTTCCACATTATTTTTCATATCTTTTGACCCATAGCTGTCCAAAATTTAAATTTGATGTCTTCAAATAGAAAACATTTGGAATATCCTATTAATTTGTTAGGGAAAAGATCATGAACTTTTCTCTGAAATTAAAGGTCTTAGTTCAAACCTTCTGACCTTTATTTTCATATAAACTTCATGAAGCACATATTCTATGAGGCATTAAAAGAGCTTGAAATTGACACAAATTTTATTTTTATGTTAAAAAGGACAAAACATAAAAACACTCTAGTGATGCCCATCTGACCAGATTTTTTGGTAATCTTCAAATCATAATACTTCAGAAGCATTTGACCTAGAAAGCAGAAAATTTGTGTGGATTAGTTTCTCAACCCTAAAAATCCACAAAATGTCAACAAAATCTAATGGGGTCAATTTTCTCTTTTCTTGTATTGAACATAGAATGACCCAATAATGACATCAGAATGCACTGTTCAATGCAAGTTTAGTGGAAAGGGAAGATTAACCATTTAGCTGCTGAGTTTTTCTTTTTAGGCAATACCCCTATGCAAGTATATTTCAGGCTTTTGTCTGTTTTTTGAAAGTTGGTACTAATTTTAATTATGCACATTCCCCTTAGTAGTGAAGATAATGAATTGATGTCAGATGAAGACCTACTTGACAGGATTAAATAACTGCACTTGAAGCGGTGGATGTAAATACAGGGTCTGGCAGAAACATATACCCACTTTCAAACTGCAAAAAGTGGGGGTAAAAAAAGCTTATTTATCGAAAATAAATATATAGGTAGAATATGTTTGTTATGCCATTTATTATGGTGTATTAGTTCCTGAAGATCACATCTTCCAGGTGGCGACCTTTGCTTTCTAGGCAAAGAACTGCCTGCCGCCTCACATCAGCCATAACCCACCACAACGTATCCTCAGGTATGGCTCTGATCTCAGCCTCAATGTTCACCTTCAGGCAAACATCGAGGCTGAGACTCGTGCCTAGAAAGCGAAGGTCGCTGCCTGGAAGATGTGATCTTCAGGAACTAAGATACCATAATAAATGGCATAACAAACATATTCTATCTATATATTTATTTTCAATAAATAAGCTTTTTTACACCCACTTTTTGCAGTTTGAAAGTGGGTAAATTTTTCTGCCAGGCCCTGTATATATGTCCATAGCAGTGAAAGGGTTAATGAGCCAAAAGATATTTCTTCTTACTCTCAAACCAAATTCTTGTGTCAAATTCATATTATTCACATCCGAGTTGAACCAATTCTCAGATTTCAGGATGAATCTGAAATTGAATGCTATACCCTGAATTTTATAAATGATTCACAGTTCTAATCAAATTAAACAGATTGAGCCTTCTCAGTTTTATTTTCAATTTTTTCTTCTTTAAAGTTGTTCTATCATAATGGAATCTGGTACAATATTTTTTTCCATGGAAGTGAGTGTTATCAATCCCTCATAGAAAATGAATTGGGCATTTTATTTTAAACATCCTAAAAAATTTTTAGAAAGATAAGCAGGTCAGGTAACCAACTCACTTAGCAAGTTTCTAGTTGTTTCTGGCATGTTTTTCTATTGGATGAATTGTATGTCTTTTTGTATCAGTTATTACAATGGTTTGTGAAGTAGAAGTACTGGAAGTCTAATTGTGCTCAAGAACTTCAGCCCCTAGGAAAAGCATGATCTCCCTACATCTTGGCTATTGGTGACTTTTATGACCAACATTTCTTTCTGTTGACTGAAGATGTGAATGGGGTTTTTTGTTCTTTGTCATCTTTCCTCCAGCATATGCCAGTCACAATTGCCAGATACAGGTGCTCCAGTCTCAACCCACCAGACCAACAAGTTGAAAGAAATGTTCAGTGACTATGTTCATTCCCGCACTCTCACGGACTACAAGTTCTGGGTTGTATCCTTTCCCTTCACTTCTCATCACTGTAAGATATGTCCAATGCCCACTTATTCTATTACCCTGGAGTACAGAGAAGTAGAGCAGCAGTCTGCACATAGTGTAATTCTTGTGGCCAGAATATATATGCTACAAAATGATCTTAAAGGATTCATTGGTTACACAGAACCTGGAGCTGTATTGTCATTGTGATGTCAGAACTTCATAGCTGATATATTTTCCAGGTATTGAGATAAGCCCAGAAGAGGAATTTGATGATGTCCTATTGCAACTGAGTATACATGAGAAGCCATTAGCTAATAAATGAAAAATTTGTCATCTTCTCTAAATGATTGAATTTTATGCACATTTTTTTTAAACTCCAAAGTGCACATTTACTGGTGAGTAACAAATCAAAATTTTGTGAGATATAACCTGTCCCTTGGGATTATATTTCTTGGACTCTGCAATATCAAGGTTAATTTACTAGTAAATACCAAATTGCCAAGTCATTTTGCTAGCATTAGTACCTATTTTATGAAACCAAGAATTTGAGTGACTTACTGAGATTTTCTCTGGTCAGATACAAGATTTTGGCACCTGGACCATAGTGAAAATATCAATCAGAGCATATATGCATGAAAGGAAATTCCTAACCTGGGAAAATACTCTTTCATGTTATAAGCCTACATTATGTTGAGTTGGCCTGTGCATCAGACACTCATCATATAATGTCTTGGTTACTGGAATGTCCTTAACCCTTTTGCTGCAGCTGATGAGTAGACTCATTGCATTATCCAGCACAGCTACGAAAACTCTGCAGTGAAAGGGTTAAGGACTTTCTACAGTATGCCATGCACCCTGAATGCCCCTGAGGCAGAATATTTTGAAGTTTTTCATTTTAACTTTAGAGAACATTCACGCAGATTCATGCCATTACTCTGCTTCCCCTCATCCTTAAAGAGTGCAAGTCTTGCATCCCCAGTTTCTTTGTTTGAAATGGGTCTGCTCTTCTCTCTCTAGGTTTTTTTTTTTCAAGAGCCTACCAGATTTCCATCTTCTTTGTCCAATGTAGCTTCCCTTCCAAGACTCTCTATAAGGAAGAGTTAGCCATTCCTCTTCCACCTTCAACCAACCTTCCAGTCAACCTTCTTCTTAGTCCTCCATCCTCTTTGTGACAAATTTTGCACTCTATAGTCTAGATCCAATAATACCTTGATTTTCTAGTTACCCTCTTTTTGCTTTTTTTTGCCTGACATCAATAATTTTAACCTTTTTTTCCCACTCCAATAAGGGAATATGGGAAAATTTGATAACCATTCATTGATCATCGTAGAAATATGATTAAAATGTCATGAGACATTACCTTAACTTTTATTTTTATTTTTAAATAGACAGGACCTGCGATGGACATACATGACCACAGACATATTTACATGACAGAGAGGAAAAGGGTGCCTGCTTGACACAAGCACCACAGCCCAATCACAGTCCCTAAGACTGGGACACCCCTCTACAATCCTGTAGGAGGCCTACACCCATGATTGGCATGAGTGGTTTTTAAGGTGTACTGCATCCGCATCTCCTAGACATGGCATACAGAGTGGTGTGTATGTTATCCTACACTAAGCAGACACTCCCCACGAAAGCAGGTTGGTTGCCTGTTGGTGGAGGAAGAGTCTGAGACATTACCATAACACTTCTGTCTTCAAGACCATTCTATCAGCATCAGGATCCAGTGTTTTTGCCATTCACATCCATCTCTAGAATCTCATTGATGTTTCGAGAATCATCTCAAATTTCAAATTAGTATTGGTCCCCCTGATGTTGTCAACCCTGTTATCCAATTATTTGACTCTTAATTTCCTCCCTCTTCCTTTTACATCCTTCTTCCTGTGAGGAGCCATGTGCCAGATTCCATGCAGGTCTATTTGGCTGATGTTCCTTGATTTTTTTTTTCATAAATACTTTCTCCTTTTTGCATATAAAGAGTTCTTGTATGCATCATGGGCCTTAGATGACTTTTACCTCTGTCATGTGTTGTTAGTCCTTGACTAGATATACTAACAGTTCAGTCGGTTGATGGAACCATTGGTGGAGTCATTCAACAGCAGCGTTTCCACATCGACTGTTGAGGACCTCACTCGCACTACCCTGTCTTGGGGTGAGCAGCACTGCTCCCTCATCTCTCTCAGACCTGGTATGACCATTTCTATCCCTCCATTTAAAATGTTTTTGTTTTTCATTTTTGCTGTAGATTTCTTCAAAATGACCACTTCACTTTTGTATTTTTATCATTTAGTATTCCCCTGCTAAGTAAATAATGCTCTTGCCTTGTTTAAATAACAAATGAACCATATTTCTTTACCAGAAAGTGTCTACGGCCTGTTTGTTTTGGAGATGGCAAGGTTAAAAAAAAAAGGTGTGCAAACATCATAGCACTGCCCTTTGCTACAGTTACTTGTGAATAGAAACAATAGAAAATGTGTTTTGAGCCAAAAGGAAGCTTTTCATTTTTTATGTATTTTTGCAAAATCTTCAATCATAAATGGTTTTTTTAAATTGTCTTTATCATAATACATGTTGTAATCTCTGTAGTGAGGTGAATAATCTTGGTCTCTTCCTCTAGCTGTGATGAATTCACTGAGGAATTTGAGTGTATCAACAAGCATATTGACATCACCAAACAAGTTGGCAAGTGAAGCAGTGGAGGCAGTGACAAAAGTCGAAAGTGAAAGTCATTGTGTGCCTCTCTCTGAATGATGTCAAGTTTCCTTGTGGAAATTCCCTCTATCTCTTTTTTTGTGGTAGGGGTGAAACTCTCCTGTATTTCTTCTCTGGGAGTGATAACATCATTTTGGCAAAGAAATTAGTTGCTTATGACAACATATATAAGATGCTTTCTAGATTCAAAGGATTCAGGAAATAAAAGGAACTGTATTGATATCAGCCTGATAAGGAATCAATAATTCCTTCTGCCCAATCTTTCAAATTGGATTGAATTTCTGCATCCTGCTGAAAATTTATTGCTGGAATCAGTCTGGATGGAACTAGTGCCTTAAGTCAGATAGGACTTGCAGCTGGATATGCTGATGCTGCTCTTCTCCCATTCTTCAAGCAGTGAGAGAGCAGGATGATAAAGCCCATGAGGTTATTGTCATTGATGATGTCACAAAGAAAAGGTACTACTATGCCACATCTAATTGTAAGTGAAATGAGTATTTGCATTTTTAGCTATCTCCAGTTCTATTCCAGCTTTGATATATGTGAGATTCAATTAAAGATTCCATACCAGATTATAGAAGCATCTTTGTTGAGATATTATGCCCAATGCTCTGTTAGGGTATCATAACAAAACATTCAAATAGTTTGGTTTCTTAGATGCTCATAGACCAGAGCATGGCAGGCTTTGTTCCTACTGAAGTCAACATGATCCACCCTTGATCCTGGATTGCTTATGAGGTGTAGGAAGCAGCAGGTAGTTTCTGTTCAATTTAGCATTAGGTTAAGTCTTGTAATTGTGCTTAGGGAAAAGCAATCAGTAACTAATTATGTTTCTTTATGGAATCTTACAAATTTGAATTAATAATAATTTGGTAACTGAAGAAGAGGAAATTATGAAATTGTCAAAGAACTGTGACAGTTGGAACACTTTCCTTATTTGTCACTATGTGCTGATGGCTGTTTCAGTGCCCAAGACCATTCCTGGATATGAAATGTGATCTTAACCCATCCACATCAGATGAATGCTGGTAGACATGGTAGCATGTCCATCCACCTAGCCTATGGCCTAGAAAGGCGTAGGCCTCTCGCATCAGGCTATGGTAGCAGAATTCTACATCAGATAGGCTGAGGAGTCATTTGTTGCTTATGGGTTAACAAGATACAGAGTAGAGGATAGGGCAGTACAGTACAGAGACATTCTGCTAGGTGGCATCCTAATACCCAGAGCTGGGGAAAGAGAGAGAGTGAGAGCGAGTCAGACAATTTCCTGCATGGGCAGCATTTTTCCACCTATCAACATTCTTCCACAAGCTGTCCTAATAGATTAGCACTTACTCTTTCATGCCCATGAGGCAACATGAGTGGAGACACAGCTGACCTTTGCATGCAGTTGATTGTGAGACTTATAACTCCATGAAATCACTTTCATCATGCTTCAAATGACTATGATCTTGAGTGTGTATCATCTTCTGGTGAACCCATGAACCAGTAGAACATAATTCCTCTGGTTTATTTTTATCACTGCTCTTACCCCCCCCCCCCCATCTCCTCCAGTGGCTCATGCAATTTGCTGCTTGATCAAAGAATATTTAAAAACTAGTCCATCCCCTGCAATAAGGAGTGGTGTGAAAAAAAGTTGTCATACAGGCAAAATCATATGTTGTTCAGCATCATTAGCTGATGCATTCCTGAGGCACTGGATTGGTAGCAGAAAAACAATTAAAAAACTAAGGCACAAATCAGTAAAATGGATTGGAAAATGATATGATGGACTCTTCTAACATCAGTCTTTATTATTTTTCATTTTTAATGAGTTCTTCCATCTGGCTAAGTCCCAGATCTTTTTTAGACAGAATTTTGCTTTTGTAGTTTGATGTATTTTAAATCAATTTCAGTCTGCCTTTTCTCTAGCTTCCTCTTAGCTATATGCTGCCAGAGTCTGACAAATCTGTCCAAAATCTCTATTGCAATACTAAAGCATTTGTGAATTTGAAATATGCTTTATTTACATTTACATTATACAAAGTATCTGATTGGAAAGAAAGTTCTCGGAATTTCATGAACAATTATTACAACCCAGTTTATTTAAAAGCAAAATCATCTCAATCACCATTGAGTAATCACCATTATCACCATTCACCATGTAATCACCATTGGCCTCTATCACTTCACACCAATGTTTATGCAAACTATGGATGCCATTCCAATAGAACTCTGGCGGCTG